ATAAGAATCTTTTTGTTGTTATTTTAGAGCCACACCTGATGATGCTCAGGGCTTACTCCTGGCTCTTTGGATCTTAGGAATCACTCCTGATGGACTCCGGGGGCCATATAGGGTGCTGGGGATTGAGCCTAGGTCAGTTGCATGCAAGGAAATTGCCTTCCTGCTATACTTTCCCTCTGGCCCCTTCCAATATGAGTCTTATTGTAATATTTGTTCCCTTTCTTTGCTCTGTTATCACATTTCTGTATATGTTGTAAATCCCACATACACAAATGTTCTTTTATTTTAAGGAACAGTATTTTGTTTGTTTTGTTTTTAAGGAAATTCGCAAAATGAGCTTTCTGTTGGCTGAATCTAGAATATATAAATATATATATATTTATATATAAATCACTGTATCACTGTCATCCTGTTATTCATCGATTTCCTCGAGCAGGCACCAGTAATGTCTCCATTAATCCTAGCCCTGAGATTTTAGCAAGTGCCACATTGGAGGCTCCTTCAGGGTCAGGGGAATGAGACCCATCTTTGTTACTGGGTTTTGGCATATCAAATATGCCACAGGAAGCTTGCCAGACTCTGCTGTGCGGGCAGGATACACTTGGTAGCCACTCGGGTTCTCCAAGAGTGAGAACTAGACAAAAGAGGTCGTGTGGCCGCTTTCACGGCCGAGAGCTGGGTTCCTGGGTCTTGGCCGTTGATGGGATAACATGGCACCAGGGGCAGTTGGTGGGTGTGATGCCTAGCTACTGGAAGATGGGGGATCTGGGTGGAGGAGGCCCAGTCCCGATCCGAGCAGGCTTGGAGATCTCAGCCCCGGGTCCTGCACACCTGGATTCCTCTGCCATTTCATTCATATGTGAGGCTCATCTGGCATTTCATTCATATGTGAGGCTCATCCAAACGTGTGGAGAGTGGTCTTTTTTTTTCTTAAGCAGTTATTATTATTATTATTATTTTAATTTTATTGAATCACCGTGAGATAGTTACAAGCATTCATGTTTGGGTTACAATCACACAATGATCAAACACCCATCTCTCCACCAGTGCACATTCCCCACCACCAGTATCCCTGGTATACCCCCCCTTTTCCACCCTCCCCCTGCCTCCATGGCAGACATGATTCCCCATCATCTCTCTCTACTTTTGGGCATTATGGTTTGCAATACCCTGAGAGGTTATCATGTTTGGTCCTTCATCTACTTTCTGCACACATCTCCCATCCCAACCAATTCCTCCAGCTATCTTTTTCTTAGTGATCTCTTCTCTATTCCAGTTGCCTTCTCCCCTTTGCTCATGAGGCAGGCTTCCAGCTATGGAGCAATCTATCTGTCCCGTGTATCTATTATTCTTAGGTGTCAACCTCATGTTATGTTGTTTTATAGTCCACAAATGAGTGCAGTCCTTCTCTGTCTGTCTCTCTTTCTGACTCATTTCACTTAGCATGATACTGTGGAGAGTGGTCTTAAGCATAGCTGTGACTGATTCCGGAGGTCATCAGCTGCCAGAGCTCTGCTCGGGGCTGGGAAGGAAACTCATCCCGCCCCCCTCCAAGGGGCACGGGAGAGAACAGCCAGGCACGGGGGCAGGAGACTCTGAGAGATACATATATGTATATATATATACACACACACACACACATATATACATATATGTAATTTTTTAAAAATAGGGCTGAAGTGATAGCACAGCGGTAGGGCGTTTGCCTTGCAAGCAGCCAACATGGCTGACCCGAGTTCGATTCCTCCGCCCCTCTCGGAGAGCCCAGCAAGCTACCGAGAGTATCTCGCCCGCACGGCAGAGCCTGGCAAGTTCCCGTGACGTATTCCATATGCCAAACACAGTAACAACAAAATCTCCAATGGAGACGTTACTGGGCCCGCTCGAGCAAATCGATGATCAACGGGAGGGCCTTTACCTTTACCTTTTAAAATTAGGATTGGCTTAGGTTTACAGTGAGCATATAACCTTTTGGGATCTCACCTTGAATGTCCCACAAATTTCTTTACTCTGGCTGATGAGAACCCAAAGGTCTTCAGCTGCATGGAATTGCTCAGCTACAGCTCCCTAGAAATTCTTTGCTCTTCCTTGTGGAGTTTCTCTCAGCTCTTCTAGAGAGCCGATGTTCAGAGAATGGAATTACCTGTGTACATTTCTGGACTCTTGACTTCCTTCTTGCTTTCTGTGGTCATCCTCCAGACAGAAAGTTGAAGTGATAGTAAGTCTTGCCTATATTTGTGATCTCACCCTTTTAAGGTTCACAGTGTGACTACAGTCTAGTCAACATAAAGTGAAATTCTGTTCTCATTTTTTTCTGCATTTAATACATTTTGGGGGAGGAGGATTTACTCCTGGCTCTGTGCTAAGGAGTCAGCCCTGGAGGGTCCAGGTGTACCGCAGGCAAGGCAAATACTCTACCCCCACTCTACCATCGCTCTGGCCCCAACATTTAATAGATCTTTTAAGGCTTTTTAACCATAGATGTTTTGTAGCCATTCATCTTTCTTGCACTTTATTTAAGAAATTGTGCATTTTATTCTATAAAATGATCTACTGTCCAGATTTTCCTGGGTGGGAATAGTGATGTTGTTTTCATTTAATATGTTTAATACTAAAAAAAAAAAAGTGGTAACTGGATCTATCGCAGTGTTCTTTTTTAGCAGGAGGGGGCTTTGTTACTTCGATTTGGAGTTTCAACTACCCCTGCTGTCGCTTAGGGTTACTCCCAGCTCTAGAGTCCAGGTGGCACATTCCTGGTTGGCGAGGGACCATATGTGGTGCTGGGAATGGAACCTGGGGTGGCCATGTGCATGGCAAGCACCCTACCCACAATATTATTTCTCTGATCATGTGGATCTTGTTGGGCTGGATAATCTTTGTAAAGGTGGGTGTGAAAGAAGGAAGTTGGGGAGGTGGGCTATTTACTAGCATCCCTAGTCTCTATCCACTAGATGTCAGTACAATCCCCTCCCTGTTGTGACAACCAAAAAAAGTCTCCAGATGGTGCAAAATATTTCCACCCATATTGTTGTGAAACAGGCAGAATCAACTTCACAAGTCTGAAAACATCTTCATAGTAAAAATAATGGTACTAGCTATGCTGACACCGCAGGGCCTTACTTGTGAAGAACTCAGCAGAGGAAAGGTGAGTCTTCCCAGAATGAATGACTTGAGCAGCATTATGGGTATGAATTTCTGTTTGAGAAGGAGAAATACTGGTATGTAAAATGATAAAATGACAAGGAATTTCTCCTCTTGCCAGTGGTGTCCGTCAGTTTTGGTCACCAATGGTTTCTATAGTGAGAATTCAGGGCATACCAGTGTTCTTAAGAATGTTCAAAGGGGCATTTGGTTTATTGGTGTCTTTAGTATTTCTAGTGATTTTGATTTTAGTGCAGTTATTTCCATTTTAAAAAAGTCATGTCTTAAGAATTTTAGAGCCCAGTTTCTTCTGCCTGTCATCTTATTTTCTCTTCTTCTGTCTCTTCTTCCAACTGCGTCTTTCTTGGCTTCTTACCCTTTTTCTCCTCTCCTTAATCGAGGAAGGAGTCCTATTGTATACCTCTAGCTCTTTCTCTTTCCTACTACTCTGGTGTGTTCCTTTCTATCTCTGACACCGATACCCATGCACTTTCTCCCCATTTGAATCTTTTAAGACATTGCCAATGACAGTCAATTCTGTAAATTTGCTCGAGCAATTTGCTTGAGCGGGCCCAGTAACGTCTCCATTGGAGACTCAGTTGTTACTGTGTCTGGCATATCGAATACGTCACGGGGAGCTTGCCAGGCTCTGCCGTGCAGGCGAGATACTCTCGGTAGCTTGCGGGGCTCTCCGAGAGGGGCGGAGGAATCGAACTCGGGTTGGCCATGTTGGCCGCGTGCAAGGCAAACGCCCTACCGCTGTGCTATCGCTCCAGCCGCAATTCTGTAAATAAGAACAAAATTCTCTATGCTAAAGGGAGTGGTGGATCAGGTAGCATAAAACTAAAACAGTGGTTGAGATAGCATATTTTAAAATAAAGATAAGGGTTTGTTGAGGTTGAGTGACTTCCTCTAATCTTTTTTCCCTAAACCTTAGTCAGGGCTGTGCTCTGCTAGACTTCTTTTGACTCAGGCTCCTGATCTCATTTATTAGTTCATTTCAGTGTAAAGTATCATTTCCATAGTCAGTCCATGTGCATCCTAAAAATGATAATAGTTTGGCTTTGAGATTTCCTGCGGATCTGTGGCATGTGACCTTGGTAAAGTTGCGTTTAGTGTTTAAAAAAGTAAATTTATAATAAGCCAAATCTAGGAACTCTAGAGCTAAAGGGGCTAAGGATATTTTTTTATAATTCTCTTTTCCATAATTTTTGAGAAGCACTGAAGGTTAAATTTGCTTTGTATCCCCAACGTTACTTTTGTAAAAATTTAAAGTTATGAGAGATGTGAGCCCAGGTACTGATTTTAATTTTCCACCTTCCAATTTTCCTCATTGGGGGAGCGAGACAGTGCTGTTGAAATAGGTAAGATAGAGCAAAGTGCAAAATATTCACCTCTAGAGCACCGAATGGTTGGGCAGTTTCAGTGTAGTTCATTCTTCTGAAAAGGTGAGCCTTTGTTGTACTTTACAAGGTCTGTGGGATCCTGTTTTTGTTTTAAAGGAGTAGGAGAGGAACTAGCTTGTTGGAACTATTTCATAAATATCGAGTGCTTATCGAGAAGAGCCCATTAGCCAGTGAGTTGTTACTGAACTCAGCTCCACCTGTCCCGCCGCCGGAGCTCCGCAGCGTGGCTAACACGGTTCCGCGGCGTCCGGGACACCGCCGGCTCCGGGCGCAGCTGACTAGCCCACTCCCCGCCGCCCGCCGCCCCCACCTGCCGCCCCGCGCCGGGCCCCGCCCCCCCCCGCGCGGGCCAATAGGCGGAGCCCCGGGGGGCGTGGCGGGGTTGGGGCGTGGCCTCTGGGAGGGCGGAGCGGCTGCGGTCGGCGCGGTCGTGGCGGTAGCTGCTGGGGCGGCGGCGGCGGCGGGGCCCGGCGTCCGCGGGTCGTGGGGGATGGGGGCGGCGAGTTGGAGCCCGCGGCGGCGGCCGCGGCGGCGACCGTGAGTGCGGGGCGGGCGTCCGCTTCCGGAACGCGGGATGGAGCGCCGAGGTGAGTGCGGGGTCGTGTCGGAAGCCAGGGCGCTGGTGCCGTCCAGGGTCGGAGCGGCCCCGGCGCGGGGCTGGGGGCGGCTGCGGGCTGTGCGGGTGGTTGGTGGTTGGTGGTCGGGGGCCGGGGTCAGGGGTCTCGGGGGCAGTGTCCTCCGGGCGGGGTCGGACGAGGAGTGCCCGGGAGGTGCAGCAGCTGCTGCTGCTGCTGAAAGCCCACAGCGCGTCGCTCGGTCCGCGTGCGGTGCCGAGAAAACCCACTATTTTTTTTTTTTTTTGAGACCTTTTTAACCATCGCGGCAGATCCCCGACTGCAAAGCTTTCCCCCCGGATGCTCCTCCTCGCGCGGCAGCTGCGCCCGAATCCGCGCCCTTGACCCCCCGCGCCCGCCGCGCTCCCACCTGCCCGGCGGCTGCGCACGCTGCCCCTGGGCCCGTTCCCGAAATAGGGGAGGATATCCGCGGCGCGTCGTTTCCTGGTCCCTGTCTTTGGGGGCCGAGGAGGGAGCTTCCTTCCCCAGCCTCCGTGCTAATAGGTCTTTCCGATTCCGTTGCGGACCCGGCTGCTTGTTGTTTGTTTTCTTACTTAAGTCCCTGACGCAGGGAACCCAAGCCTGGGACGTTTGAAGTCGGAGCCGCAGACACTGCGCCTCTTGTGCACTGTGGATCTTTTTCCTTTTTTCTTTTTTTCCTTAACTCTCACCCCTCCCAGGTTCCCTTCTCCCGGGGACAGGACGGCTAGCGGGTAGCATCGGGGTGGGGGGATTGAGGGGGACCTCCAGCTCGGATCCTGGAACCCCTGCGTTGTCCGTGTGGGCATGTGGCACGGGGCGCGGTTTGGGAGCGCTGGCCTGCAGGAATGCTGGACTCCAGGCCCGCGTGGGAGGCCGCTGCCTCCTCGCGGCCACGTCTGTGTGGCGCGCTGCTGCCCAGGAATGAAATGTATGTGATCGCGTGCCCGCCTGCAGAAGTGGCAGTTATTGGAATACTCCGGTTCATTTTTCTACACGTCACCATTCCGTTTGCGTGGGTGGGTGGCACCAGTTTTTAAAAATAGAATCAAAGACAATCCTCCATACCCCTCTGAGTTTTTCTGATTTTTAAGATATTTTAAAAGTAGATTTTTTTTTTAAACCAAATTAGAAATTGGACTGACAAGAAGCAGATCTCTAAACATATCAACTTTTTTCCTGGAGGTAGAAATCATCAAAGTTAAAATTCGTACTCTTAGGTACGAATATTCGGGAGCAGTTTAGACTTCAGTGAGACAAGCCAGTGCCTGGAAGTGAAAATAATCCTATAATGATTCATCTGGGGAGGCAGGACACGGACATTTAGTTAACACAGGCTGCTTAAAGCCTAGGACAGGCGGTGTTTCTGGGTACCAGAAGACAATGGGAGGTGCTGTGCACATTCTGTTGCACCTCGTACTAGGAACATTGGATGGTACAGAAAGCAGTTTTGCAGATTGTTTGTTGCTACGTTATTTGGGAATTGATAAAATAGTTTGGTTGGAGTTGGAAGAGATAACTTGGTTAGAAGAGTTATTTCACAAATACTTTGCTTAGCTGTTTGCACAGTTCAAACTTCATTTGGAAACAAACTTGACACATAGTTACTCCAAGTAACTGAAATAGATGCATTTCTTTGTTTGAAGCATACAATATTTTGTCTTTTTTTAAATCAGTGACAGTGATCAGTTTTCTAATTACCAAACTAAAAGCATTAATAAGTGACCCTATAAAATAAGTTACATAAGTGGTAAAGTGAGGTTAATAATTGCCTTTTCAATTAGACTTGTAAAGGCTCTGAAGTGGACCGTTTTTGATGTGAGAAGACATTATTTTGGTATAATAACATGCTTAAAATATTGACCTAGATTAATTTGGAAATTCTCAAAATATTGACATCAGTTTATTTGAAAATTAATTTTAAGTTAATATAAAGTTAGTTTTAGCATAGAAATTAAGTTCTCAGAAGTACTTTGAAATTAAAAAGAATATTCAATAAATTAACTTTAAAAGCTGTTAAAGTATTGTGAGACTTTAATAAACAGAAGTAGGGAAGCAATAATAAAAATCTAACTTTGATTTTAGTTTTATATAATCTTACATTCACTCAACTTAATGTGCTTGATTAAAACTCTTTCGATTTTTGGTGGTGCACACATGGAATCCGGGACCTTCTGAGCCATATACCTGGAATAGTGACACATAGAAAAATGCCCTTTGATTTTTATTTTTGTGTGTGTGTATGTGCTGCTCAAGTGGGCATGCTTGGTTATTTTTTGAAAGGTACTTTTCTTGTAGAAATAGTTTTAAAAAGCAAACAAACGTTTGTTTTCAATCCCGAAATTTCAGTAAATAACCCAGAGTGAGCCAGCTTCACTTTTAAAACATTTCACAACTTCACGTATTTTGTAAGCCCATTATTGATTCATCAAACAGTTCTGAGTACTTCATCCCCTATATGCCAAATGCTGTACTGTGAATAGAGAATAAACCATTAGCAGACAGACTGGGTCTTGATTTCCTATAGGTTATCATCTAGATAGACATGAATAATCTATTTGAACTTTGATAAGTACAGTGATAAAAAGCATAAAATGCAGTAAAGCATCTAATAGGAGATTCTGTTGTATGGGGACAGGAGTGATCCGGGAAGTTTTCTTTGAGGTAATCTTTATGCTAAGATTAGAATGAAGAAGAAACGAAGGGGAAAGAAGTAGAAGAGGCAAATGGAACTTAGATGGAAACAATCTGTATCTCAAGCTTTAGGGTCATTTTGAGTATGAAACTAATTTGGTGGGTTATAACGAGAATTTTTTAAAAAATGAAATGGGACAGGATAGAAATCTGAATACATCGTCGCCTGGCTTCTAACCCAGAATCTGTTTTATGTTTAATAGATTCACATATATTGCACAGCAACATAGCAACATAGTTAACATTTATCCTGACTCATGATGTAAAATTATTTCCTGTGGGTCATAGTAAACAAATCCTCTTGGAATAGTGAGAAGGAGATGTGGATGGCGGGAGTGTTGAGAAGGAATTGTGATTCCAGGTGACATTGCCAAGGCAAGATAGGCCAGTTCTCTAGCTGAGCTTTGTGATGCACAATTGCTTCTTGCTGTTCCTTGCAAGTGTTTCCGCTGCCACATTTGGAATAGGGCAGGAATGGGTGTGGAAAGATCTTTAGATAATTAGTAAAAGCTTAGACCATAAATGATGGTAATTGAATGAATGTGATAGTAGACATAGACATTGATAGATGAGAGATCTGTGCATTAGGAAGCAAAAAATCTTCTGAAGTTGGGAGAGTTAGAGGAAATGGCAAATGATACAATGTTATATTTTACACAGGGTGTAGAAATGAGTGTTAGGTAAAAAATTTATACTGTTTTCACAGTCCTTAGTGATTGCATTTTAAAGGCACCCAGACTTTCAAGTTGAAATATTTGAAAAGTACTTTAATGATAATGCTGAGCTACTTTAATTCCTTCACTCTTTATCGTCATCATCATCATTATGTTTATGTTTATTCAAAGAGATCAGGACTTTTAAATCTGGATTGTGGAAAGATGAAAATGAAAAAGAAACAGGTTTCCTTGAGCACCAGCTGTGTGCCACCATCAGGTGGTGTTTTAGCATAACCTTTCTGTTTGGCCCCCTTTGTGATCCCTAGGTACTCAAGAGGGGGAGGGATAGGTGAGAACTGAGTAAAGGGGAGGCCCACAGCAGGAGACTATGGGGCCAACAGGTAGGATGGAGTGTGGGAGGGATTTTAGGAAGAAAACAGGTTGGAAGGGGGCCATGGCTGGGAAAAAAGTTGAGAAACACTGTTTTTAACATCTTTTAGTTTTGTGTTTGCAAGCAGTGGTACAGTGCACATGTGTAGAAAATCTTAAGCTTTTCTAATTAAACTCTAAATCTCATTAGTAAAGATTGTGGTTTTTACTATGCGCTTCTGAAATTACTGAAAACACTGCTCTAATAATCATGTATTTATGTGTTCAGTTAGAGATGTCAAATTAGTGACCCTCCTTAGAATTTGTTTTCAAGGAGAAAATATTCTGGGTGAAAGTGATGCCTTACAATATGTATGTGTGTGCCTGAAGGGTGTACTTTATAATTGAGAACTATAATTTGACTTACCTTATGTGCTGAACATTTCTATACATCGCCTCATTTAATACTGACAATAATCCAAAGGATTAGGTGTTGTCAGATTGTTATTTCCTTTTTATAAATGAGGATGCCAAAATGGGGAGAGGATTTAGTAGCAACTCTCTCATCCTCTTTCTCACAATAATTGGGGGTGGGAGGGCGGATTTTGAAAACAGGTCTTTTTGTTTTTGTTTTGTTTTTGAGCCTTACCTGGGGCTTACTCCTGCTTCTGCTGAGTTTCCCTTCTGCCCCCCAGCCTGCTTCTCTGGTGGGCACTTTTTCCTTTTCCTTTTCCTTTCTTTATTTAGAGGTACTGTGCCTTGCCAAACTGTTATTGAAAGGGTATCATGCACATCACTTTACCTCCTTTCAGCACCCAGTTCTTGTCCAAAGTGACCATTCCCCCTTCCATTGTCATGGTGTCACCTTCCCTGTCCTCACCTGCTACTTCCACTATGGCAGAGCTTCCTACTAAGGGCCAGTCCTCCTGGCCTTGGTTTCTCTTCTCTTGGGGCAATGTTCTTGTACTGTTTTTCCATATATCCCGCAAATGAGTGCTTTTCCATCATTCTCTGTCTATCCTTCCTCTGACTCATTTCACTCAGTATGATACTCTCCAGATCTATTCATGCATCAGCAAATTTTATGACTTCATCTTTTCTAACAGTTGCAGAGTATTCCATTGTGTAGATGTACCATAGGTTTTTTTTGTTGTTGTTGTTGTTTGTTTTTTGGGTCACACCCGGCGATGCCCAGGGGTTGTTACTCCTGGCTTCGCACTCAGGAATCACTCCTGGTGGTGCTCGGTGGACCATATGGGATGCTGGCAATCTAACCTGGGTCAGCCGCACGCGAGGCAATACCCGCTGTGCTATTGCTCCAGCCCCTTTTTATTTATTTATTTATTGTCCAGTCATCCTTTCTTGGGTGCTTAGGTTGTTTCCAGATTTTGGCTGCTGTGAATAGTGCTGTAATGAACATAGGAGTGCAGATGTTTTTTCTGCATTGTGCTTTTGGGTCCTTAGGATATATTTCCAGGTCAGGGATCACTCTTGGTGGGGCTCATGGGACCATATGTCGTGCAAGGGATTGAATCAGCAGTGTGCAAGTCTCCCTGTGCCCTACTCTCTGTCCTATCTCTCTGGTCCAACAAGTGTTTGTTTAAAGCTCATATTTTATTTATTTACTTATTTTTGCCTTTTGGGTCATATTTTATTTTTAGTTTTGAAAGTGATAGGCCCTTTCACTAAATGAGATTTCAGAACAATTTTTTTTAATTAAAAAATTGTGTATCGTAGGAATTACGAGGACATTGAGTGTGGATTTTTGTGGGAAGGCAAATCTGGGTTTAAGTACCAGTTCATCATATATCAGTTCAGAATTTATATTTAACCCCCAAATTTAATGTCCTCACTTGTGAAATGAAAATAATGGTTTGCATATCAAATAATTGTCTTTATTACTGATAATAAATGGAAATTGCTGTTATTAGTAGTACATTTGCTGATTTTTTTTTTTTTGTAAAACACTCACGTGGGTTAGGGCTGTTTGTGAAAAGCCTAGAATGTTTCCCCTAGTTGATGGAATTTTTGTGTTTTTCTCTCTCCCCCTCCTACTCCCCTTCGCCCTTTAATTTCAGTTTTTATGACTGCTCTGTGAAAGGATGATTGCTCACAAACAAAAAAAGACAAAGAAAAAACGTGTTTTGGTACCAGGCCAGCTTTCTACTGATGTTACAACTTCTGAAATGGGGCTCAAGTCTATAAATTCTAATACCATTTTTGATCCGGATTACATCAAGGAGTTGGTGAATGATATCAGGAAGTTCTCCCATATGTTGTTGTATTTAAAAGAAGCTATTCTTTCAGGTTGGTCAACTTTTTCTCTTAGCATTTTTACTGGGTAGTTTGTAAAATTTTAAATGTCAAATTTTAAATGTTGTCCTAACAACAAGTAAATGTGTACTTAATAGTTAAGGACAGGGTATTCTGTTTTACTTTGATTTTTTTTTTTCCTTTTTGGTCAAAAGTTTGATGTTTGTGGTGTAAACTTTACAATCAGATACAGTGTAATACATAAAAGATACTCTGGTAAGTGTAATGGAACAAAATATAAAAAATGAAAATCAGTCTTTGGCTCTTAGCAGCTGTACCCATTTGACAAAGGAAAATTTTATTTATTTAAAAAAGTTTTTATTTTTTATGAATCACTGGGAGGTACTGTTACAGATTTACAAACTTGTGTGATTATGTTCCAGTCATACAGTGGTCGAGTACCCATCTCTCCACCAGTACCCATTCTCCACCACCAATGTTCCCAGTATTCCCCCTGCCACCCTGCGCCCCCCCCCCCCCCCCCCGCCCACCTTTGTGCAGGCACATTCAGTTTTACTCTGTCTCGACAAAGGAAAATTTTAGATCAGTTGGATTTTCACTTGGTTAATGGTAACACAGTGTGTTGACTTTCATAAATGGAGTCATGCTTATAATTTGCATTCTTTCACATGGCTGCCTAGATTTAGTTTTTTACATTTTTTTCCTAAGGCAATCTAAAATTACTATATACAAGTAATTTTTTTTTCAATAATCAGACTTAATTTTTTCTGTTCTATAGCATCTTCTTAACTAAGGGATAATTATAACATTCATTCCCCATCTAGTTAGAAGTGGATAGTGGAAAATGTGATTTGATTGTCCAAAAGTAAAAAATTGCATATCTGAACTTCCTGATTTGATCTTGGTACCTAAGTCTTTAAACTTGAGTGTTTCTTAAGGCTAGAACAGTATACTGAGAAGGGTCCTTGCCATGCACATGCTGACCCGGGTTTGATCTGTGCTGACCTGGGTTTGATCTCTGGCACCACATATGGTCACCCATGCATTGCCAAGAGTGATCCTTGAATTCAGAGCCAGGAGTAAGCCCTAGATACTAGGAGCTAGATATGGCTCCAAAACAAACAAAACTAACAGCAACAAAAATAAATTTGATTGTCTTGTATATAACCAAATTTGATGGTAGTCATAAATATTAAAGATACAACTCCTATTCTTCTAAGACAAAGCATTTCATGACTAGTGTCATAATATAATTGGATGTAGAAAATGAAGACTTACAGTGTTAGATGAGCTAATATTTCATAGCTAATATTTCCTATGTTTGAAACTTAAATACTCATTTTCTGACCTACATTTTGAAAGTAGAAATAAAGACCATATCTTGTAAAATGCTTTTAAGGTTTTAAAATCAGTAGTTAGAAATATATTTAGAACTTAACTGTAATTTTGAAGTTAATGATCCGCTGATGTGAGGTTGAAATGCTCAATAAGTATACATTTGTTAGTGATGTAAACATTTTAATATTTAAGTTTTCTTTACACAAGACTGACTGTGTAAAGTTAGTCTCCTGTACTTCATATAGTCCCCGAGGCTGCAAGGAGTGATCCCTGAATGCAGAGCCAGGAGTAAGTGCTGAGCACAGCTAGGTATGACCCAGGCACCAAAATATTTTTTTCCCTTAAAGTGGCAATATATAGTTTATTCCTTTAAAGTTGAATATCTTAGTTGGATTCCTCATTATGCTTCATAGGTAGTTAAATAGCTATACTTTTATTTATTTTTTTATATTTTTGGTTATGAAGCCACACCCAGTAGTGGTCAGGGTCTATTTCTGGCTCTGTGTTCAGAACTCCCCCTGAGTCCTGGGGTGCACAGGGCACCATGTGTGGTGCAGGAATTTGAACAGGGTTGACTACACACAAGGCTAGTTAGTTCCTTGCCTCCTGTATGATCGATCCCAGCTTTAGAGAATACTTTTAGACAAATTTCATTTTCATTTCATCATCCTGTTATTCATCGATTGCCTCGAGCAGGCCCCAGTAACGTCCCTTTCATCCTAACCCTGAGATTATATTCAAGGCTCTTTAGGAGAATGAGACCCATCATTGTTACTGGTATTTGGCATATTTGGCACGCCACGGGGAGTTTGCCAGACTCTGCCCTGTGGGCAGGCTACATTCGATAGCCTGCAAGTTTTTAGACAAATTACTCATCATTTCTCTCCCTCAGTTTCTAAATTCTCTTAAAAAGGCATAAAAGTACTCACATCATTGTGTGATTATGAAGATTACTGTGTGTAAAACTTTTAGAATAAAGATATTTTGAATGTCCATTATTTCACCCCCCAAGTAGCTAGATAAATAAAACCGTATTTCAGGCTTTATTTTTATCCTAAAAATTCAGAAGTTATTATAGGAGGAAAAAAAAGAAGAGGAGGGAGGATTCTAGAGAGATGTTTTAAAACTCCGCCTCTCCCCTTTGTTTTCACTGCTTTCCCAGGGAGGTTAGACTGAATTAATAAGACTGAGTATTAAAATTACTGTCAATTTTTAAAATCTTGGAAAACACCATGCTTTTTCTCTTTATTTACTTATCTATTTCCATGAAGTGTTTGCAGTATAAACACTGTGGTATTGTGTTAATGCATGAGAACCAGAGAGCTCCTAATCTGTTTTCACTTGATAAGCAGAATGAAGCAGAAAATAAATTGCACAAATAAGTGAAAAAAGGCACAAATTCAGATTACCATATTCCAGAGATGGTAGATAAACCAGGTGGACTTTGGGATGTGGGATTTTTACTATTGTAGTTAACCGATGTTAAGACTTTGAACATCTTATTAATATACATGATACACTAGTATACTATAAATTAAATTTTGTTTTATTTATAATGTAGTCACCGTAACATTTTAAAACTGGATTGGGTATAGCATAGTGATAGAGCTAATTTATAGTCTCATCTGAGGTTTTATCAGTAAGTTATAATATATACTGATAACCTAGTCATTGACTCTTCTATTCATATACTTAGGAAAGTTTATAAATCTTTGTAATTAGAACTTTATTTGTCTTACTCCTGTGAATTTATAGATTTCAAAAGTATGTTCAGTTTATGAAAAATTGGAGTTACTGTTAAAAATTACAGAATCCCATTGTGTTTGTAAACAAAACATTTAGGGTGGGGAATGTGGATTTGGGCCATACCTGGCTGTGCTCAGGGATCACTCCTGGCAGTGCCTGGGGGACGGTATGGGTTGTCAAGAGACTAACCGGGTCAGCCTTGTGCAAGGCAAACACCCTATCTGCTGTACTATCACTGTGTCAAAACAGTTTTAACTGTTTTTGTTTATGGGCTATACTTATTACTGTTTACTCTGTTAGAAATCAAAACTAAGAAAATGAAATGTATTTAATAATTTTGAAATACGATTTCAACATACTTAATTTCCTTAACTCTGAAATAACCAGTATTGCTTTGATTTAATTGGCCTTTCACACCATTAGTATTTTACAGTTAATACACAGTAGTATTTTTCTTAGAGGTAAGGAACTGAGACACAGCATAGGCAGTTCAATCCAGTTCTCTCAGCCATGGAGTTGGGATTCAAATTTGGGAAATATGATTCTACAAGCTACACTTTTGTGGAACAATAGCACAGCGGGTAGGGCATGTGCCTTGCACACGACCGACCGACCGGGGTTTGATTCCTCCATCCCTCTCAGAGAATGCAGCAAGCTACCCAGAGTATCCCACCCGCATGGCAGAGCCTGGCAAGCTCCCTGTGGCGTATTAGATATTCCAAAAACAGTAACAAATCTCGCAATGGAGATGTTACTGGTGCCTGCTCGAGCAAATCGATGAACAGTGCTACACTTTTGACCAGCTGCTAAGTAGTATTGCTTTTGCTAAGTAAAACTACCCATCTAACAGCATAGTTTTTTTAAAAAAAACAGTGATCATTGCAGATAATAGATAACTGAATAAAATTTTCCCTAGAAATTAAAAGTTATAAATGACTTTTTAAATTATGAAAGCATTATATGTTTATGTGGGAATTCTAACAATATAATAGCTGTTGTTTTCGGTTATTGGACCATACCTTGTGGTGCTTAGGATTTACTCCTGGTTCTCTGCTCAGGGTTTACTCCTTGGGGGACCAGATATGGTGCAAGGGATTGAACCCAGGTCATTTTACCCTCTGTGCTGTTTCACAGGCTCATATATTCTAAAATTTTTTTTTTACAATTTTTTTTTTTTGCTTGCTTTTTGGGTCACACCTGGCGATGCACAGGGGTTACTCCTGGCTCTGCACTCAGGAGTTACTCCTGGCGGTGCTCAGGGGACCATATGGGATGCTGGGAATCGAACCTGGGTCGGCTGCGTGCAAGGCAAACGCCCTACTCGCTGTGCTATCTCTCCAGCCCCTATTCTAAAATTTTTAATTTAAAAGAAATTTACTTATTTACATATATTTATTTATTTGGGGGTCTTGGGGGACCACATCCAGTGGTGCTTACAGGCTAGTCTTGTCTCTGCTCAGGAGTGACTACTGGTGGTGCTCAGGAGACCATATGGGCTGCCAGGGATTTGAATTGAGATTACTAGGATTTAAGAATGCAAATCAAGTGTTTTTAATCCCTGTTATATTCCCTGGCATATGTGTGTGTGTGTGTATTTATATATATTCCCTGGCATATATATATATATAAACACTAACCCTGCCATATATATATATGGGGGGGTTAGTGTTTCTTCTTGGCACTGCTTGGCAGTTCAGGTACCTTGATCATGCAGAGCCTATGGTCCACCCCTTTGAGCTATCTATCTCTCTGCCCCTTCAACTCTTGGGCCTATAAGTACTTGTCAAGTAGATTGTAGGGTGTGCCATAATTATAATTTGATATTTTCCTCATGATTGAACGGGGTCACTGGGCTATTGGAAGAAAGATGGCACATATGAAGTGTCATTTGGATCATGTCAAATAAACATGATTTTACCACTCTTGATGATGACATAGCTCACCTCTGTTTAGCAGTAATTTTCAAGTATCTCTACTCCTTTTGTCCCCCTTTCCAAACTATATGCATGTAAGAAGTCACTAGGTATATGCTTCACCTGCTTGATAACAAAATTGTCTAAATTATACAAAACAGCTTTCTTATTTTCTCATTTAAAATTTATTCAGTTATTTGTATCACTATGGATTCATGAATACTTATGGTTCAGATTATGATCTAGTACTCCTTGCTTTATTGCTTAACTTGTTCCTACTGGGCTATTGGGAACCAAAGTAATTTCCTTTGTACCCTTGTCATAACATGTTTAATGTTTGTTTGTTTGTTTTAAAGATATTTCTGCTACTATAAGATACTCTTAACTGATCTTGTATTTTTGCCAATGCAAGATACTCTTAACTCATCTTGTATACTTTTTGCCTTAAGCCTAGACCCAGCCATTTCTTTTTTTCCTTTTTTCTTTTTTTTTGGTGGGGGGCGGTCAGACCTGGTGATGCTCAGGGGTTACTTCTGGCTCAGCATCGGTCTTTACTCCTGGTGTACTCAGGAAACCATGGGGTACCAGGAATCGAACTCAGTTCAGTCATGTGCAAGGCAAGCACCCTACCAGTTGTACTATTGCTGTGAGCCCCCAACCCAGCCATTTCTTTATAGAACGTTGGTTTATTTTATTGGTGAATGGTAAAAATAATCAAAATTAGGATGCTAGGTTTGTTAGTAGCATTTTAACTGTCATTTCTTTTAGAGTCTTTCAGCTAGTAGCAAAGACGTGCTGTTTGTATACACAGCTATCTAAATATTTCTATTTTAGACATCTACCACCTATGTCTGTTAAGCTAAACATGACTTTTTTACTAAAGTATTCAACCCCATTCATCGCCATTTTATGGCATCTTTTGCCTGTTTTTTTTTTATAAATTCTATTCCTAATGATGAGATTAGCTCATTTCCACCATAAAGTATCCATTTTCTTAATTGTTGAATGAAAATATATATGTGTGTAGATATATAACAGAATGCTAACCTAAACACTCACTAAAAATACTTTCTTGACTACTGTCTTAAGTGTAGGTGTTTTGTGTGTGTGTGTGTGTGTGTGTGTGTGTGTGTGTGTTTGCCTTTGGTATTTTAGATTCTACTTCATTCCAGAGTCACGTTTTCACCAGCATCTTTTTATTCCTCTGTACCCATTTTCCTATCATTAAAATCACTACCTGAACTGGGACCCAGAGCGATATAGTATAGCGGGTACGGCATTTGCCTTGCATGCAGCTGATCTGTGTTCAATCCTCATCATCTCATATAATCCCCCGAGCACAGCCAGGGGTAGTTCCTGAATGCAGAGTAACCCCTGAGCATCACTGGGTGTGGCCCCAAACCTAACCAAAACAAAAAGCTACCTGAATTATTCTTCTTTGCCTTTTCCTGGAATATCTACCTGGATAGGCCTGCTCATGTCCCACTTGCAGTTCCTCTTATCCACCATATTTTTCTCTCATAGTAATGTTGTTGATGGGATATTTAATGGATGGGTGATACAATATTACATTTTTCTGCTTTTATCCTATTGAGTTTTTCTAGTGATTATCTTTGAACATCGCCAATAAATTGGGCTATTAGCCCTTTTTTATATGTATGGCTTTCAAATATTTTATCCCATTCAGTAGGATACCTTTATTTTCACCTGTTTCTTTCGCAGTACATTTATCCCCACTGCCCCAAGGGCGTTGAGCTCAGAAATCACTGCTGGTGGGCTCTGGAGACCATTTGGGGTGCCAGGATTGAACCCAAGTCAGCTGTGTGCAAAGCAAGCTACTTTACCCATTGTACTATCTCTCTGATCCCAGCCACACACACGCTTTATAGTTGATATAATCTCATTTGTTTTTTGTTGATGTTGCCAATGGAGTTATGTCATTAATGTCACCTCTATTTTCCTGAGTGTATTTTATGGATTTTAATCTAATCTCAAGGTCTTTAATTCACTTCAAGCTGATTTATGTGTAGGGTGTGAGGTATAGATCCATTTTGTGTTTTTTTGCACATGGTAGTTCAATCTTCCCAACACCTTTTGTTCTGTTTTTTGGGGGTGGGTGGGCGGGGTAGGGGGTGGGGGGCTGGGGGTTGATTAGGGCCACACCTGGCAGTGCTCAGGCGCTACCCCTGGCTTTGTGCTTAGGAGTCACTCCTGGAGGTGATCAGGGGACCGTTCAATGCTGTAGCCGGTCCAGGTCATTTGCATTCAAGGCAAGTGCACTAACCCCTGTACTTAATGTCCATTCCCTTGTACTGTTTATTGAAGAGACTTGACTTGCTTTTATCTGTTCCTTTGTTATAGATTGGCGGAGTGTACATCTGAAGGCTTGTCTCTGGGTTCTCAATTTACTTCATTGTTCTGAGAGTTGGCCTTTTCTCTCCTTTAATGTGCCTAGTATGCTGGCATGCTTACCTAGGAGTAGCTCCCCCTTTTTCACTCGCCCAGTGTTTTGACTTGGATGACTACCTTATTTAAAGAGTAATAAAACTAATACATCCCTCTGATAATAAAACAATACATCCCTCTGATAATAAAACAATACATCCCTCTGATGAGGTATTAAGAAGTTGCGCAGATTTGATGTAGATTTGGGGACTGGGAAAGAACCCATCCTCACTTTAGAGAACACCACTGCTTCGTCCAGCTGCTTATGGCCAAGGGTCTGTCTTGTGCAAGGGAAGTGCTTTACCTGTTGTAGAATCTCACTGGCCTCACAGAATCAGCTTTAAAGTGGAAACTTAAATTGTTATGTTTAATACTGGTTAATATAGCTAACTTTGTAGGACTTGTAAGCACATATAAAGTTCAGTGAAAACTTTTAAGACAGGAGAAATTTTACTTCGAGGGAAATCTGAAAACCATATTTAGATTGAAAAAATTAAAAAGTACTCCAAATTGACCTAAAATGTGAGAAAATTTTGAATTTTTTAATGAATTAAAATAATGTAAGGGAAATAAATTGCGTGTAGATGGAATAGTAAAAACAAGAGAAACATAGTAGGCAGATAATTGAGGCGCTGGTATTTCTGCTTGGAATACGCTTCCAGATGTGGTGTTTTCATAATTTAGATTCAGAAACTTGGTTTTGGAAACATTAATTTTCTTTTCCGTTTAAGATTGTTTCAAAGAAGTCATTCATATACGGCTGGATGAACTTATCCGTGTTTTAAAGTCAGTAATGAATAAACACCAGAACCTCAATTCCGTTGAGCTCCAGAATGCTGCAGAAATGCTTGCCACGAAAGTGAAAGGTAAGAGATATATTTAAAGTGTGTTGGCATGGGCAGAAAAGATCCAAGTAATACCTTTTGGTCCATGATGATTATAGGGCCTTCCTTTCCCTGGCAGTGTATGACAGTGTGACAGTGTCACAGGAGTTACACAAACCTCAATATTTAAAATAGTCCTAATCACACCTAAAATTCTTGCTTTTAAAACTCAAAATTTCATTTAGCAGGATGCACTCTAATACTAATTGAAAGAAACAAGCGACTATAATGTATTATCTAATGACTACATTTAAAGATAGAATCAAACGGAGAAAAAGACTTGAACTGGCAACTTATTGTAGATTGAAAAAACAAGACTTGTAAAGTAAGGATATGTGTGTGGCATATACATATTTATATACATATATATTTATGTATTTACATCTATGGATACATAAATATATACATACATGCATATTTATTGATGTGTACCTTTTATATATATGCCACACTCATACATACATTCCAGTGCTGCAGTAATCATATTGGGACATTGTCCTCTCACGAAATGATTTACCAACCAGAAGTGTTACTGTGCTGAAGAACATAAAGAGGATTGAGAGTGAAGGGAGTCTTTGAGGATAGATGAGACGGAAGGCAGGAAGTTTAGTTAGGAGACTGTTTAGAATACCGGACTAGATACAGGTTGATTGGTCTAAGTAAGAGGCTGCGGTATTGTAGAGGTGGGGTGATGGTTGTTAGGAAAGAGGCTGTGATTATTAAATGTTTGACAGGTTTAATGATAGAGACCAAACTGAAGGTTGGAGTTGGAAGACCTAAAGAGTAACTGATGTGTGAAAATTATATAGAGTATTAAAAGAGAGAAAAGCATCTCAGTGCAGAATAAATAAAGAGAACCAAGTATGAAATCTCAGGAATAGAGAAAAGAGCGAAAACAAACCTACAACGACAGCAGCAAAATACTTGTAATACCTAAGACTTAGGTTGTTTTGGGAAAGAAGTCATGGAATTTAAAAAGTGCGAAGGCAAAGAAGAGCTCCTCAGAGGCGGGAGAGATAGCAGCAGACTAGAGTGTGTGCTCTGTGTACAAGAGGCCTGGGGAGGCCTCTGCTCCCCAGCCCTGGGAGGGATCACTGAGCACTGAACCAGAAATAGCACTGTAGCCTTCCCTACAGGAAAAAAAAAAAAAGAAGAAGAAAGAAAGAAAAAAGAAAAACTCCCGAACAAAACAAAACACCCCAAAAAGATGATCATCAGAACTCAAGGTTACTGCTGGTATGGCTCGAAGGTGAGGTATTATAGAAAGTGACTTGCTATATGTTGAGTAAGAAAAAGAAAGATTACTTAGCACAGCGGTAGGGCGTTTGCCTTGCACGCAGCCAACATGGCCGACCCGAGTTCGATTCCTCCGCCCCTCTTGGAGAGCCGGGCAAGCTACCGAGAGTATCTCGCCCGCACGGCAGAGCCTGGCAAGCTCCCCGTGACGTATTCGATATGCCAGACACAGTAACAATGAAGTCTCCAATGGAGACGTTACTGGGCCCGCTCGAGCAAATCGATGAACAATGGGAGGGCCTTTACCTTTACCTTTACCTTACTTGGTGGGGTGGGGTGGCAAGGTTACATGTCCTGAGTTTTCAAAGGTTGAGTTAGGAATTTACTGGGTGGCATCTGTAGGGGTGATGGAGGAGGCCGTGATACAGGAAACTTGAACGAGAACTCTGGATGTGAGGAACATCATGCTGTTGGTGATTACATATACTCAGAATTAGGGAGCGCAAAGAACAAATTTGAGAAATGAGGCTGAAACAGAGAAGTCTTGCCAATAAAACAAAATTCCATGTAATTTATAATATTCCTTTCTTCTGGAAATGGATTTGTGTGATTCTTTTTCCCTGTATTTGAAGCATTTTAAAAAATGTAGGTGGTTTAAATGGGAAAAATGAATAGCTTTTCTTGTGACTTAAAAACATTCTCAAGCTAGAGAGAGACTACGGCAGATTATACAGCTTACCTTGCACAATGCTGACCTGGACTTGATCCTTGGTACCCCAGGTGTACCCCTGCAACTACCGCCAGGAGTGAACCTTGGCCACAGGGCCAGGAGTAAGCCCTGGGTGTGCCCCCCCCACACACACACAAAACTTTTTAAAATAAGGAAATAAAAAGTACTTAGTAACAAGATTCATTTTTAAATAGATTGTTTATAAGTACCATTTAATTTAACTTAGGGAAATTTGTGTCTATAGATAGTAAAATTTCCATGCTTGGAAATCACGACCACAGCTCATTCAGTTGTTGTCAGTAGCTATTGTGTGCAGGATGTCCTGGGGAAGGAGTGAGCCTCTGGGTCATTGGTATTCACATTCCAGAAGCAAACTTGAAATAAGTAGCCTTTCAGCTCCCTTGAAGATCTCTTTTCTTTGAGATAAAGCAGTTTTTTGGATATTATTTCCTAACTATGACTGTCTTTGCCCTTGGGATTATTGTTATGATTTTGCGTTTGTTTTGGTGAAAATTAAAAGATTACTTTGTTGTTGGTTGACTGTTTCAGTAAGACTCCATGAGACTACAAGACTTTAAAGATTTTGTTTTCCTTAGTGTAAGTTTGTTTTTAAATTAAGACCTTTCCCCCTACTCTTATTGTTGAAGTGACCTAAAAATACCTTTGATACCCCAGTGCAAAATATGCAGCTGACTGACCTGAAAAATTAAGGTCAGATCAGAGGTTATTTAATTCTTCTATTTTAGTAATATAAAACTCTGGAAAACTAATGGGGAGGTAAGTAGGAGCAGTTTAAAAGTATTCATTTGGTGCAGTCTAAGTGTTTTGTGCATAATGTTTTAATGGGTTTTTTTTGTTTGTTTGTTTTTTGCTTTTTGGGTCACACCCAGAGATGCACAGAGGTTACTCCTGGCTCTGCACTCAGGAATCCCCACTGGCAGGGCTCAGGGGACCCGATGGGATGCTGGGAATTGAACCCGGGGGTTGGCCGCGTGCAAGGTGAACGCCCCACCCGCTGTGCTATTGCTCCAGCCCCTGTTTAATGTTTTTAAAAGACTTACAAAGACACATTTTTTGAATTTCTTTAAAGATGAAAATATAAAAAATAATAGGATCAGGAGAACTCTCAGGAATATGGAGATTATTTTGTCTCAATCCTTTGGGTGTAGATACAAAACAGTGGTGAACTTGCTTTTGGAGGTCTGTTTACAAGTATACCAAGCTTGAGAAAAAAGTAACTTTAGAATCCAAGTAACCTTTAGAAAAGCTCCGAGGTGCAAATTGTGTTGTGTTGCAGCTGGTCTGAATGCATGAAATCTTATTCATCTCCTGTACACTAAAGTGAAATTATTATAGTTGACTCTTCTTAAGTGTGGAATTTACCTTTCCGTATCTTTAAAAGAAAAATTTTTAGCTTTCCTCCACTCATTCTAATTTTGATTTGTATTTCCTGTGTCTCTTCTTGTTTCCAAGCAGGAAGTTCAATCTGACAAAATATTTGCAATATGGTCAGGGAGATACAGCCTATTTTTGAAAGAGATAAAGGCATCTTTAGCTTTCATAATTTGTTGTATATTTAGTTATATATATTTCCCTTATTAATGTGTATTTTGGGCAGTCATTATAATATCTATTAAAAGAGCCCTTGTGTAGATTTTTTATCATGGTATTTAGCCCAGTAATTAACATTTGGCAAGTTAAAAACAATTTAATTATGCGTCCCAAACTGTTGAGGTCTTGTTTGTTCTTTGTGTTTTGAAATAGCTTTTCAATAGTCGGTGCATTACTATGATTCATAATCAGATGGCACAAGAGTTCACTGGTGAAAGGCCTTTCTTACTTCAGGTTCTTTGCTGTTATTCTTTTCCCTAGATAAGCAAAAGCTCTTATTGTTGTACTTTCCAGCGCTATATCAAGTACTATACACAAGTACTGTACACAAGTACTATACACAAGTACTATAATGTGATCTCTTTTACACCTTCTTCTACAAAAGCTAGTACTTTCCCTGCATACTGAGTTATTGGCATGGTGTTTTCTGATTCTTTTATTAGGTTTTTCAAAGGTACATAAATATCCATTATATTGATAATCCAGTAATTTCTTTAACCAGTTCACTACTAATAGATCCTTAGATTGATGCTTTTATTTTACTTTCAGTTTTTTTCTGGAAGCTGCACAGGAATATCTGATGAATTGTTTTCTCTTTCTTTTTGGTTGAAGGTCCCAGCCCACGAAGCTCCAGGGTCACTCCTGGCAGTGTTCAGGGAACCGTTTGTGACTCCTGCATACAAAGCTTGTACTCTTACCTCTTGAGCTCTCTTTGGCCCAAGTTGGCTTTTCTAGATTTTAAAGGCTGTCTATACGTCTTGCCTCAGGGCTCTGTCATACATTTTTTTTTCCTCTCTTTTATCCATTGTCTTTTGAATGAGGGTCCCTGTTAAGTTAACTCAGTTAGCTCAGGATATCATTAATGTAATCACCTCTGAGAAGTCACATTCACAAGTTTCAAGGGATAAAGATAAGGACTTCCCGAAGAGGCCCTTTTAAGTTTACCATATCTTAGTGTGATTCTGTGGTCTCTGGATCCAGAAAGCTTCAGTTCAAATCTTGGTTTTAGCTTAATACCAGGTGACTTAAGAACTCATCTTTGCTGCAGTTTTTTTATTTGTATGATAGAGAAATCTCTGTTCACCTTATTTGTTTCAGTATCATCTACTGTTTTAATATAACTCCAGATTTTTTTTTTTCAAAAACAGCAGTGATTTGAAAATTTTTTTCTCAGAGTGGGCAGTTATTCTATCCTTCACGACACTAACTTTTGTTTACTAGTCTGCAGCTACGTTCATCTGAAAACTCAGCTGGGATGAGAAAATGTGCAAGCTGGTCTCGCTGAATGTGCAAGCTGGTCTCGCTGATACTCCCGGTCTTGTTCATAGCAGAAGTTCACAAATACTTCTAAAATTAGTTACAACTGTTGTTGTTTGTATCAGGAACATTTAAGGGATCTGATAAAAGGCATAGACTTGTTTCTATGCAGCCTCAATACTATAAAACTAGGGTTTCATACTTAATTAATCTCTGCATTAGGAATCCGTGTTTCTCATCCATCATTTTCCACCTTAGTTGCTCTTTGGAATCACCTGGCTTTTTTTTTAAGCTATTTTAATTTACTAGAGTGTCTCAAAGAATAGCAAAATTACATACAGCAAATATAGCATTGTGAATAGTAAAAGCTGTTGGCATGGTTTTTGTAACAAATATCTGTGGTTCACGCGATCAGTGAAATCTGAATTTTTGGTGGTGGGACTCATGCTTTGTTTTTAAAACTCCCTAGGTTAGTTCTGGTATGTAGTCAAACTTAAAAGCAGCTCTGTTTTAAGTAAAGGATGGCTTTCTCTCCTTTTGGTTTTTCTATCTTCCCTTTCTTGGTAAGGACCCTTGCACGGAGGTTAGGATGTAAGGAATTAGTTGTTCTAAAACTCAAACTAAATGGAATGGGTAACTTAAAGTGTCAATCAAATTCATATTTTACTTAATAAAATGTAACTGAGCTCTTAACAAATATACATATAGAACAGTTAAATATTTTTCACTTACGTTGCACAGTTAGCTTTAACCAAGTGTAAAATGTTAAAATACTTGTATGGTAAATAAAAGGTAGTTATGTATCAATTATCTCAGAACTCAAGATCCAATAAAGAATAAAACTACAATAATGGAAGTTTAAATTTTCTAAATGATTAGATTTTTCTGTATATATGCATTGTACAAGGTTTTATGTTATGTCAAATGAATATGATTTCAGTTCTTGATAATTCCTGTGAAAATTTTACTCCGTGTTGACTTTCATGAGCCATATTGTGTTTGCTGGTTTTTCTAATGCCATCAACTACTAATAAGAGAAAAAAGTAGAGTGCTCTTAATGAGAAAGGTCTGGTATAACATGGACTCTGTGAGTCTGAGATGATTGATTCACACTGAGTCATGTTTTAGATGTGTCAGATTTATAATGCATGGAGTAGTCAGTTTGGAATGCCCACTACTTTAGTGAATACTTTTTTGTTTTTTCTTTTGTTTTGGTTTTGGGGCCGTACCCAGCTGTGCTTAGGGCTTACTCCTGGCTCTGTTCAGGAATCATCCCCTTCAGTCTTGGGGAACCATATGGAATGTCAGGGACTATACCTGGGCCGCCACATACAAGACAAGCACCCTACTGTCACTGTTCTATTGCTCCAGCCCTAGTGCTTTGCTTTCTTTAAAAATAGAAAAAAATGAACATCTTAATACATTTTTTCATATTACTTTTCAGTTTCTGAATCTTCTGCTTCTAAAAGCAGTTGTGAATCTTTTAGAGGAATAAATGATTATTTAAAAATAGTTTATTTTCCCTCTCAATGGAGCGATAGCACAGCGGTAGGGCGTTTGCCTTGCACGCAGCCAACATGGCTGACCCGAGTTCGATTCCTCCGCCCCTCTCGGAGAGCCCCGCAAGCTACCGAGAGTATCTCGCCCGCACGGCAGAGCCTGGCAAGCTCCCCGTGACGTATTCGATATGCCAGACACAGTAACAACAAAGTCTCCAATGGAGACGTTACTGGGCCCTCTCGAGCAAATCGATGAACAACGGGAGGGCCTTTACTTTTACTTTTACCCTCTCATTTATTATCACTAATATTTTATTTTAGCTGTGAACTTCACTGAAGTTAATGAAGAAAACAAAAATGATCTCTTCAGAGAAGTGTTCTCTTCCATAGAAACCTTGGCTTTTACCTTTGGGAATATGTAAGTAGAGGAACTGTCATAAAGTAGTATAGGCTTAGATGTTTTAGTTGAGAGTATATCAATCACATAATCCAGTAGATATATAAAAATAAAATATTAACTATTACAAAAAAAACCCTCTGGAAAAGCTGCATTCTGTTAATCTAATGCTATGTTTGATGGTGGCTTTATAGCGTTTTAGAAGCAACATTTGCAAGTACTGTGTTTGTAGTTTTATGACTGTATAAGCTAGGAGTTTATTTCTTAAGTTCTTTTGTTTGTTTGGGGGCCACACCTGACACTGCTCAGGGCTTCCTCCTGGCTCTGCACTTGGGGAGCACTCCTGGCCCGCACATGATGCTGGGTGGGCTGCGTGCAAGGCAAACTTTCTATCTACTGTACTCTCTCTCCATCCCCTCTCAGGTTCTTAATTTATTTTAATTTCTAAATGATAACATTGACTGTAAAGCCTGTAACAGCAATATAATGACACATTTTTATTTCTATTCTTTTTTTTTTTTTTAATTCTGGATAGTCTTACAAACTTCCTCATGGGAGATGTAGGCAATGACTCATTACTGCGACTGCCCGTTTCCCGAGAAAATAAGGTAAGCCAAGTTTGGGTGAAACCACATACTTAAATATTTTTAATCTAATATTTCAGGGATTTTTTTTTCCCTACCAGGGATTGATAGCTTTTGAGTTTGTGATAAAACTGTAGTTTATATACTTTATTAAATATGTAGCATATATTCATTTATAAGATTAACTGATAATATAACATGGTCAATTTCTGCGACAAAAAAATATATTAAAGTGCAACTGTCATTTTATTGATTTAAGTTTTTCTTCCTAGTTGTGCACTTGAAGACTGGTGGAAACTTAGAAAAGTAGTGTGGTAGTCTTTTAGCATATCCTACAGTTTGTTACTACTTACAAACAAGACTGTAGTTCTTAATTCTCCGGAAGTGCATTCTTATAAGATTATCAGAGAATTGGGATTTTGATTCTGAGTTGGAAGATAAATGCTATGAAATAATAGGACATCAAGAGTGCATAAAGAATCTTAGTAGGCGCTGGAGCAGTAGTACAGCAGGTAGGGTACTTTCCTTGCATGTAGTCTACGTGTGTTCAATCCCTGGCATCCCATATGATCTCCTGGGCACCACCAGGAGTGATTCTTGAGTACAGAGCCAGGAATGAGCCCTGATCATTGCCAGGTATGGCCCAAAAGCCAAAAAAGTGTAATAATATTTATATTTGATTAAAAAATTTCACCAAATGCTAGATATTTAAACAGCTGCACTAGAGAAGTTCATAGCTCAGTTGCTGCTTTATTGGAAAGTGCAGATACAGAACATTTCCATCATAAATTCACTGAACATTTTAGTAGACTTTTCAGAAACATGCTTGTTATATAATAAAATGGTAAAATATGTTTGGAAGAAAAATAAGTACTTTTATTGCTTCTATAATTTCTTGACTATTTTTGAGGTGTGCCAAATTTAAGTTTTGGGTGGACTCACTGGTGTTAGCTAATGATGTTAGTAAACAATGAGGTTATTCATTCTTGTGCTTTGAGAACTCCTGTTGTAAAAAGCTATATAATTCTTATAAAATGTTCTGGCATTTAAACAGACTTTTCTGGTCCTTTGAATTCTAAATACTTGGAATTCTTTAGCCAGAATTATGTCAGAGTAACAAATTAAGAGTGAAGAATTTCTAGTGAAACAGATTGGTTATCTGCTCTAATCTTAACTTTGTTTTCTTCCATTTTTAAGTCTTTTGAAAATGTTTCTGTGGAATCAGTCGACTCATCCAATGAAAAAGGTAATGCTTTGAGGTCTTTAAAATTTTGGAGAAGCTTTTTGCTTCTTTTTTTTTTTCTTCTTTCAGTTACTATTGGTTTATTTAATCTCTTCTGCTTAGTGACCTAATGTATTGATTTTCAACATAAAATTACATATAAAATTTTAGTTGTAAAACTTGAAGAAAATTCTGTCAGAGTAGATATAATGAGACTGAGCAAGAATTATATAGGACTTTATAATTTGATGAATAGTAAAATACTAGATTTGAAAAAACATTAGAATTTGAAACCATTTTTGACTGTAATTTTAGATGTTATTTGTATTTTTTTAACCAGTTTTTAAACAAAGAATACCTTAGGGTTTGAATGCTTCTTTGTTTAATTATAGGAACTAATTAAATAATTATTTTGTGGTGCCAAGGATTAAACCTTATTTAATAATATGCCTGCCTTTATATTTTGTTTGCAGGAAATTTTTCTCCTATAGAACTAGACAGTGTGCTGTTAAAGAACACTGACTCTATAGAGTTGGCTTTGTCATATGCTAAAACCTGGTCAAAGTATACGAAGAACATAGTCTCGTGGGTTGAAAAAAAGCTTAACTTGGGTGAGTGGTTCCTTTGGTCATTTAATTAAATTTGGAATATAAAGAACTAAATTAGTTGTATTTAATTTTCTATGTACTATAAAAATATGAATCCAAGTAAATAGCTATTTCACTGTAGTGAATAACATTAACTTTTCTTCTTGAAATAGGATGACTTTTAAATGTACTTACTGAACGATACTGTGGTGTAACTACTGAATTTGTGCGTGTGTGTGTGTGTGTGTGTGTGTGTGTGTGTGTGTGTGTGTGTGTGTTTTGTCTTAAGACAAAATTATTTAACCACTAAGGAAAATCATAGGGCTGGAGCGATAGCACAGCGTTAGGGTGTTTGCCTTGCACGACCGGCTGACTGACCGGCTGACTAACCCTGGTTCAATTCCTCCACCCCTCTTGGAGAGCCCGGCAAGCTACTGAGAGTATCTCGCCCCCATGGCAAAGCCTGGCAAACTACCCGTGATGTATTCGATATGCCAAACACAGTAACAACAAGTCTCACAATGGAGACGTTACTGGGCCCGCTCGAGCAAATCGATGAACAACGAGAGGATAGTGACAGTGACAGTGAAGGAAAATCATACTCTACTGTATAAAAAAGTACAATCCTATGTAAACTGATATAAAGCCACTATAGTTATAGGACAGAACACAGTAGAAACATAGAGAACATCTTAGTAGCTTCATTCTTCCCAGTGTTTTACAGCTGACAAAATGCTTTCACATTTATTATCTCATTTATTCTTTACCCAAACCCAGCAAGGTGAGTAGGATGAGTCATTTCCCAACTTCTTAAAGTTGAAGCAAACAAAACAAGTAATTGGTCTAAGGTCAGAGAACAGATTTGCCTAGGATCACATTATAGGAGCTAGAAAAGTATAGAATTTACCCAAAGCCTTTGATTTTTTTTTTCAAACCTCTAATTTTTCTACCACATTATTTGCATTTAACCGTGCCCATTCGAATGATCTGGATTGTTTGATGATAGGACAATACACATGTCCAGGTCTCAAACTCTAGAGAGGTGAGGTCTTGACGAGTGTATTTTGAAAGTTTAATTGGAATTAATCCCTGATTAAGAATTACAAAGATTTCTACCATGCTTCAGACTGATTTTTGCAATTATTTAATTTTTTTCTGTAGTGTTCAGGATTGAGTCTAAGATCTCACACATGTTGCCAGACTCTGACACTGAGCTGATTCTGATGTTTGTGATCACTTTTGGGGACGAAAGTTAATTTTACCTTCTGATACCTTTTTTGACTTTCTCAGAGTTTGAGTCCACTAGAAATATCGTCAAGTTGGCAGAGGCAACTAGGACTAACATTGGGCTACAGGTAAGTGTTTAGTGAACTCTTCGAGTTCTACCAAAATTATGCAGAACAGCTCTGGGTAATATCTTGGTGAAATTGAAAAAAATGCAGCACTGGAAGGAGATCAATGCTAATATTTTATTGCAAATTAAGATTCTTTTAATTTTACAAAAAAAGCCACCCCCCAAACAGTAAACTTGCCTATTTAATTTAGTGTTGTTTTCTTAACTGCTAGTTTTGCTACATAATTCTGTAGTTCATTGTAATTTTGTTTTCATTTTCTCATAGTTATATTTGTGATTAGTCTTTTATTGGGGGGGAGTTTAAACTTAGAATTTCTCTTTTAAAGAAATTAGGTGGGAATCTAGTACTATTTCTATTGACATTTTCTATTTTAAATTTTAGGAGTTTATGCCACTGCAGTCTCTATTTACCAATGCTCTTTTGAATGATATAGAAAGTAGTCAGCAGTTACAGCAAACAATTTCAGCTCTCCAAGCCAACAAATTTGTGCAGGTGAAAAATTAATACATGCAATATACACTTTTTGAAATAACAGCTTGCCATTAGAAAGCAACCTTTATTTTTTTCTTTCTACCCTTGGCAGCCTCTACTTGGGAGGAAAAATGAAATGGAGAAACAAAGGAAAGAATTAAAAGAACTTTGGAAACAGGAACAGAATAAAATGGTTTGTATTATAATGGAGTTTCATTTACTTGTTTGTGAACACCTAAAGTCATCTGCAGTATAGAAGCATCTCCCCCCCCCCCCCCCCCCCCCGGAAGATGGCATTCCTTACTCTGTGATAGTCTTTCTAAATTGTTCTTAACTTCTTGCTGAATATTTTAGAGAGATTTACATATACAAAACTTACACATTTATTGTTCTCTATTTAATCCTCTTTGTGTGTAGCTGGAAACGGAGACAGCTCTTAAGAAGGCAAAATTGTTATGCATGCAACGACAGGATGAGTATGAAAAAGCAAAATCGTCCATGTTTCGTGCAGAAGAGGATCTTTGTTCAAATAGTGGTGGAATAGTGAAAAATCTCAACAAGCAGTTAGAGAAAAAGCGAAGGCTGGAAGAAGAGGCTCTTCAGAAAGTAATGATCTTTTCTTTGCAAGTCGAATTAGCTATGATCTGCCAGAGCGTTAGTTCTAAGACTTCAGTACTGGAATCTCTCAAAAGATTGTAGGACCAGCCTGCTGGACTCCAACCTTAGAGTTAGTATATCTAGGATAGGGCCCAGCCAGCTTGTGTTTTAAACAGGTTCCTAGGTGGTGCTGCTCCTGCTGACCCAATTTTGAGACTCCCCCATGCTAAGAAACTTTTTCTTTGGTTTATTTATGAAAGAAGTATCTTAGAGAAGGCAGTCTAATATTTTAAACTTGCTTGTTAAAAAAGTTCACCATGTAGATACCACATTTTGTGCATTAATTCTAGTACCTAAGTTAAAGCTTCGGTTAATTATCAGGACAACACCTGGCTGTGCTCAAGGAACCCACAGGGTTGTTCCCAGCCTTTGGGTGTGTGAAGACCTATGCCAGGGCTCAAACTCGGGCCTCACACATGCGCTAATGCTAAATGTTAATGCTAATGCAAGGCTAATGCCTTACCACTTGAGAACTTTTCCAGGCCCGAAGCTTTTTGTGTTTCATTAAATAAGATTTGGTTTTAGACATGTAAACTAGGCTTGAGAGATGGTATGGGGTTAAAGTTCTTGCCTTGACACTGATTGATTCCTGTGGCATGGATGGTTCCAGAAAATCAAAGCCCTGAGCAAAGCTGAGTGTGACCCCAGAAGAAACCCCCCCCCAAAAATGGTGTACAATTAGAAAATGATAAATACAAATAGGAACAAAGATTTTATAGTAGATAATATACTAAATGTAAGTCATAATATGGATACCCTTGAATTGCTGACCAAGGCAATTGTGTATAGAAATACTTAAAACAGAGTATTTGGCATTTTCATGCATAAAGATTTTCAGTTATTTCAACTGAGTTTTTCAACAATTATTATTATTTGTTGTTGTTGCTGTTTGTATGTATTTTTTTTGTTTTGGTGCTCCACCCAGCAGAGCTCAGGGGTTATTTCCGCCTCTGTGCTCTTGTATGATTCCTGGCAATGCCCCAGGGACCATATGGGATGCTGGAGATCAGCCCGGGTTGGCCACATGCGAGACAAACACCCTACCTGCTGTACTATCGCTCTAGCCCAGAGTATTTGTTACCTGCTGTACTATCGCTCTAGCCCAGAGTATTTGTTTTAAAATAAAGTTAGTGTTTTTTTTTTCTTTTGTCCTGAAGGTGGAAGAAGCAAATGAATTATACAAAGTTTGTGTGACTAATGTTGAAGAAAGACGAAATGATCTGGAAAATACCAAAAGAGAAATTTTAGCACAACTTCGGAAACTTGTTTTCCAGTGTGATCTTACCCTTAAAGCTGTAAGTCATTTCTTCAGTTTTTGAAGGCAAGAAGCTAAAAAAGAGTGTGTATTTACAGGAGAGAGACACCTGATAAGTGATTCTCTGTGATTTAGTTTCAACAATTGAACATTTGCACTGCTTTTGCTTTAGGGCAGAGCTGCTATGAGTATTCATTTATGGTTTTATGTAAATTTGGGGACTGGTGAGAGAGTACAGTGGGGAGGGTGTGTGCCTTGCACATAGCTCACCCAAGTTTAATCCACCAGCATCCCATACTGTCCCTTATATACCACCAGGAGTGAGCACTGCTGGGTGTGACCCCAAAATAAACAAAAACCAGTATTGGTCGGGGTTTATTTCTTGCATGTGGATGTTGTATTAAAATTAAAGCCATGGAATTTCAGTTTGTGATGGTGACTGAATGCATGACAACTAAAAGGTCAGTCTTAATTGAAAGATAAATTGTTGACCTTGCCAGAGACCAGGGAACATGGTATGCCATCCAAGGCCAGGTGACAGAACAGGTTTGGTCAGCAGAAGCAGGATTGAGGGGAAAGCCGAATACAATGCCTTTATTAGGACTCAGGAGGAAAGCAAGTTAGGGGAGGATGAGTAGTTTAGGATTGACAGGTTTGAATTGTTCCATTTAACTTTGGAGTAAAATGATGATCTGTAGTTCCAGCCCTGGAAATAGTAGAGGGCAGAGGAAATACTAGTTTATTGTGTGTGAGATAGAGATAATGAGAGTTGAAGTTAATATGAAAGTTGTTCTCCCTAAGTTGGAACATTGAAGGCCCAAAACATTTACTAAAAGCTTTGTAAATCATGGTACTTACATTTTCAAAAAAGTGAGTTTGTAAAAGAAGCAGGATGGGGAGGGTGGGTGTTAAGGGTACCTTGACAGTGGTGGAGGGACACTGATGCCTAAAACTAGCATTAACAATGTTATAAATAACTGTTCCTAAAGATTAGAAAGAGGGAAAAAAAAAGATGTGCTTCCTAAGAATTGCCCAGCCTTGGGAAGAGAATCACTCTCTGACCTAGAGAACCTTCTAAAGGTGTTCAAATGTAAAACATACAAAATAAAAAATGTGATTTATAAACATTTTTTATACATTTTTATATATTGTCTTCATTTGCTAGGGTGCTTGCCTTGCATGAGGCCAACTCATATTCAATCCCCAGCACCTTTATTGTCCACTGAGCACTGGCAATAGTGATCTCTGAGCAGAACCAGGAGTAAACCTTGAGCATTGCTGTATGTGGCCCAAAACCAAAATTTTTAGTTGGGATTGTGTTAAATCCTAGATCAGAATGGGAGAACTGGACTATATACCTGCTATATGGTGGCAGGAATAATTTGTATGTGAGGATCTCAGACTGAGCTACCAGGATCAATCACTTTGTTTGCACGCGAGTAGCATTGGGGGTTACACTCAAAGTTGCACAGGGCAGGCACTTCAGCCACTGAAGACCACATGTGGGTCCAAGTAGGTAGCAAATTGAATAGCTATAGAATACAGATTGGGTTTTTTTTTTTCTAAGTGAGAGCCATGTTCGCTTAAATTCATTTTCTCTGATTTTCTTTCTGTTCTTCTGACTGAAGCAGAATAGGATTTTTGGTGACTTAATTTTGAATACCTGATCTCCTGGTCCTGAAAAAAGCAGTGGGGGGTTATTTATTTATTTATTTATTTATTTATTTATTTTTGCTTTTTTGGTCACACCCTGCTATGCACAGGGGTTTCTCCTGGCTCTGCACTCAGGAATTACCCCTGGCGGTGCTCAGGGGACCATATGGGATGCTGGGAATCGAACCCGGGTCAGTCGTGTGCAAGGCATACACCCTACCCGCTGTGAGATTGCTCCTGCCCTATTCAGAATTGACTTGGAACTTGAAGTATTGAAATGTTTATTTGTAATCATAGTTATCTGACTAAGTGGGAGGAAGGAGAAACAGCAGGAGGCAGGCCAGCCATACCTCCCAAACCAGTGACCTTCAAAGGAAGGGAGAAGCTAGATAGAACAGGAGTTTCGTTTTAAAGAGCATTGAAACAGCATCTATGTTTTAAGAAAGTGGATGGAAAACTCATATTGGACAAAAACTAAAATTTTAGATGAATGCCTGTTTATATGGGAGCAGCTTTTCCTCATTCACTTGTTAATCATGGAAAATTCTATACCAAAACCCCAAGGGATATTTGCAGTAATCCACACAACTGTGGAGTAATAAAATTGGATTTAGATAATGAAAAGTTGTGTCCTAGTCGTTGAATAGAAAATACCAGAGAATGTGCAGAATTGTAGGATGGATTTGACTAATGACACTTTCTAATTAATATTAATTTGTTTTTTTCCCCTTTATGAAGCATTGCTATAGATGGGGACCTAGAAGAAAAAAAACTTAAGTCTCTGGACAGAGAGATAGGAGACATGATACCTTTTTTTTTTTCCTTTTCTCTTTTTGGGTCACACCCATCGATGTTCAGGGATCACTCCTGGCTATGCGCTCAGGAATTACTTCTGGTGGTGCTCGGGGAATCATGGGATGCAAGGGATTGAGTCCCGGTTGGTCACATGCAAAGCAAACACCCTACCCTGTGTTCTATTGCTCCAGTCCACATGATGTTTTTTTGAGGTACAGGAGTACCATCCTACGTAAGATGTCCAACAAATCTTATAGGAGCTCCCCAGAGGCAGCTCACTCTATATTTAAGATAGAGAAAAGTGGGTGACTTAGGATGAAGAGATAAAAAAAATCTGGATTATCAGTATTTATTAGTGCTTAAGTCTTAATTATTAATAAATTCTTAGACATTCAGCATATCAAAGAGTTGTCCTAATATACTCAGTCTACCTTCAGTTATTAGTGTTTAACTAGGTTCATTAAGTTTTAAATATTAAAATATTCAGTTACTTTTAGGATTGTGAGAATAAATTTATTTTACCATTAACTGGAGAATTTTCTGATTGTAACTGGTTGATGAATTTAAACTTTACCATACACAGTTTGAATTTCTTTTAGTTTTGGAAGCTAAGATAAAAATAAGCTATTCAGTTATGTGTACTTTTCAAGTATTATTTATTCTGAATCTTAGTTATCTTTGGAAAATGCCTGTCTGCCTCTATCCCAGTGTTCAACATATACCATCCAGTATATCAAGGGAGATAAAAAGGAAACATAAGCAAGCAATCTTTGAAATAACACTGGTACCATTAATCAAGTTGAAATTTGACATTTATTCATAGCCCTTCCCTTAAATACATTCCCTACGCAGGAGCCTGAGTGGCACTTTAAAAAAATAAATAAAAAATAAATACATCAGACTCTGGTTTCACTATAGCTCTCCTTTTAAAAACTCTTTGTGCTTATTGACTGGAGCAGTAGTACAGAAGGTAGGATGCTTGCACATGCTGACCCAGATTTGATCTCCGGCATCCCATATGATCAGTTATCACCCAGGCACTGCCAGGAGTAATCCCTGAGCATCACTGGGTGTGGCCCCAAAGCCAAAACAAACCATCAAACAAACTCAGGGTGGTGGGTGGGGGAAAGATACTTGATACTCTGTGCCTAAATCCAAATTGCTACTGTGGTTTAGACTCGGACTTCTTCAACTTTTTTTTTTTTTGACTCAGTTACCCCTAGAAAATGCAACATGGTAAGCTCTGCCAGAAATCCGAAATAATCCCTGTGATTCATTATGTGGTTGATTTTTGGTTTTGGGGTTTTTTTCTTTTGGCTTTTTGGGTCATACCCGGCGATGTGTAGGGGCTACTCCCAGCTCTGCACTCAGGAATTACTCCTGGCGGGGCTTGGGGAACCATATGGGATGCCAGGGATCGAATCCAAGTCTTTGTGCAAGGCAAATGTCCTACCCACTGTACTATCATTCCAGCCCATGTAGTTGATTTTTTTTTTCTTTTTGGGTCACACCCTGTGATGCACAGGGGTTACTCCTGGCTCTGCACTCAGGAATTACTCCTGGCGGTGCTCGGGGGACCATATGGGATGCTGGGAATCGAACCCGGATCACCTGTGTGCAAAGCAAATGCCCTACCAGCTGTGGTATCTCCCCAGCCACCTAGGTGGTTGATTTTGAATTAATTTTTGATCATGTGATTCAAAAACTTTTTCCTATTACCAAATTTTTCATATTCCCACATTTAGTTATGTGACTAGATTACTGCTTCCCTTTCATGATTTTATCTTAAATCAAAGTTCCATTTTGGGCCTTCAAAGAAGTACACGGGAGCTGCTTCTGGTGGTGCTGGGGTAGGGTAGTGGAGAGGATCAAACTTAGGATCTGACACTCTTCAGTAATACATCCCTTTGAGCTATCTTCCTAGCCCTCATTTGTTCTTGATTGACAAGTTCTTTCTCACTCACTTTAAGTGGGATCTTTGCCCTGCCTCTTCCCTTTTGCCTGGACTGATCTCCTGGAAGCCTCTCCTTTGGGTTTTTCATGAAGTCTCAGTTTCAGTATTACTTCCTTGAAGATGCGTTCACTAACGCACCATGTCAAAATAGTTCCATAAACGCATGCCTAGTCACAATCCAACATTTTTGTTTTGTTTTGGAGCTCTGTTGTTTAGGGCTTACTACTGGCTCTGCACTCAGATTAATTCATAATCAGTCACATAAAGGATCATAGGGATATTTCTGATTTCTGATCGTGGTGGGCTTGAAGGAACCATATGGGGTACCAGGGATTGAACCTGGGTTGACCACATGCAAGACAAATGCCCTACACTCCAGCCCCTCCCATCACTTTTGATACTGTCTAAAAAACTTAGGACCGTTTCTAGTTGCGTGAGGACTATATAGTGCCAGGGATTGAACCTGGGCCTGCCATACGCAAGGCTTGCTTCCCACTCCTGAGCCCCTTCCCTGAACCACAGTACTACAGTACTCAAATTACTTTTGAGGGGGCTAGGGAGAGAGTATAGCTGGTAAGCACTTGCCTTGGACATGGTTGACATGGTTTCAGTCTTCAGCACCATTATGGTTCTCCCAAGCCCTCTAGGAGTGATCCCGGAGTGCAGAGCCAGGAGTTAGCTCTGGGAGCCACCAGGTGTGTCCCCTCAAAAAGTAACTTACTACTTTCGGAAGATAGTTCAGAGAGCTGAAGCCCATGCCTGCTGGAGTCCCGTGGTTCCCAAGCACCAATGGTATGGTCCCCCCCTCCCCTTGCTCTTAACCTCATTTTGTATTTTATTTGCTCTTTTTGTTTGGGAGCCACACCCAGCAGTGCCCAGGGCTTATTCTTTGTTCTGCATTCAGGAATCCCTCCTGGAGTGCTTGGGGGAACCATATACAGTGCTAGGGATTGAACTCGGATCAGCCACATGCAAGAAGTTGCCTTACCCTGTGTACTATGGCTGCAGCCGTGACCTTGTGTTGATTAGGCCACAGAATATGTTCCTAATATTTGTTGTCTGCCTCACTTTGCAGTCTTTTTCTCAGTGCTGTCACTGAAATGTATATATTTTCTGGCGGGGGCAGGGGTTGTCACACCCAGCAATACTTAGCGGTTACACTCCTGGGTCTGCACTCAGGAATTACTCCTGGTGGTTCCCCTGGGAGTCATACGAGATGCCAGGGATAGAACCCGAGTCGACCACATGCAAGGCAAACCCCTCCCCGCTGTGCTATTGCTCCGGCCCCAGTGAATGTATACTTAGAATTCCGTGCCTCACTGGTTGCTCTGCCTCTTGTCCCTATGCTCGTAGGTGACAGTGAACCTGTTCCAGATGCAGCAGCAGCAGGTCTCCTCCCTCGCAGGCAGGTTGCAGACTCTGTGTGACAGTGCCAAACTCTATGATCCAGGCCAGGAGTACAGTGAGTTTGTGAAGGCCACAAGTTCAACTGAAGAAGAGAAAGTTGATGGGTAAGAATTAATTTATAGGTATAACTCTTTCAAGAGAAAATAAATATTTATTGCTAAGTTTCTATCTGGTATAAAGTATCTTTCCTAACATTTTTAGAATTGACTGTAAAATTGTCTGGATTTTTTTTTTCAATATTATGTAGGTTTAATTCACTTAAGAGTAGAGTGTTGTCATTTTTACAGATTTTGAGTTCTTTTTAAGAAAGGCTGGAGAAGGGCTGAAGAAATAGCACAGCGGGTAGGGCGTTTGCCTTGCATGCGGCCGACCCAGGTTCAATTCCCAGCACCCCATGTGGTCCCCTGAGCACCGCCAAGAGTAACTCCTGAGTGCAGAGCCAGGAGTAACCCCTGTGCATCGCCAGGTATGACCCAAAAAGCAAAAAAAAAAAAAGGAAAGAAAGGCTGAAGAAAAAGTGTAGGAGGTAAGGCACTTGTACTGGATGTGGCAGCCGTGACTGGTTTTAATACCCATCACATATGAGCCCTTGAGCACTGCCAGGTTGGCCCCCAAAACTCCCCACCTGCCAGAAAGGCAAATCATGGTCTGTTTTGTGTGTATATAAATTTAAATTACGTGTTGTTAAACTAGAAAGATGTTTTGGGGAGGGAGATTGGAGCAATAGTAGTACAGCTGTAGGATACTTACCTTTCATATGGCAGACCCAGGTTTGACCCTTGGCATCCCAGATGGTCCCCTGAACGTAGCCAGTAGTGATTAGTGATTTTTGAGTACAGAGCTGGAAGTAAACCCTGAGCACCACCATGTATGGCCCAAAAAGAAAGGTGTTTTTTTGCGAGAATGTTAAAGGTTTTGGGGTACGGGGAGTAAGGTTTGTTTGTTGCAAGACAGTTGCCCTACCCACTGTACTATCTCTCCAGCCCCTTGTACTAGAAATTTAGGCAGGAAATTAACTAATTTTGTATTTTTTAATTTTGTATTCTTTTCTCTGTTAAGTACATATAGTGAATAGGCTTTTCAAAAAGTGGTTGTAGCAGATAATTCAGCATTTAATTTATATTTGCTACTTTTGATGAAAATAGAATAATAGATTATTATTCTTCTTAGTGATGAGTTTCTTTGGGTTTTTCTTAGGCATGTAAATAAGCAGTCAACAGGTAGCCCCCAAACCTCTGGGTATGGACCATCTGACTCGTTAGAGGACGTTGTTCGCCTTCCTGACAGTTCTAGTAAGATGGAAGAAGACAGATGTTCTAACAGTGTGGACATGACAGGTAGTTTTTCATGTTAAATAAAGTTTTTCATGTTAAATTTGTGTGAGGTATCATTTAAATACAATTCTACATGAATTGCAGTTGTGGAATTAAAAATCAAACTTGAAGTATCTTTTTTTTTTTAGCTCTTATTCATAGTTGCAAATGCTGTGCCTGTCTTAAAGTTGATTGTTCATTTCAAAGAAAATTGATGTATGCTAGAGAAATAGTATTCGGGGTAGGCATTGGCCTTGCATGTAGCCAATTCTGGTTCAGTCCCTAGCATCACCAGGTAGTGACCTGTGAATGTCACAGGCTTTGGCCCAAAAGCAAACAAAAAAGCTGTATCAATGACTTGAATAGAATTTATTTGTCTCATTTTATATAATGCCAGTATTTTGCTTTGCAGCAATTCGTTTAAGTTTGACTTTTTATTTTTTTAAAGGTCCTTCTTTCACAAGGTCGTGGACATTTGGGATGTTCAGTGACTCTGAGAGCACGGGGGGAAGCAGTGAATCTCGATCTCTGGATTCAGAATCTATAAGTCCAGGTACCTTAGTATTTTAGTTTAGCAGTGAAAAATATAAAGTATTCTTTGGGGGGCTTTTTCACTATCTGATATTTATAATAAACTGTTTCCTAAATTAGAGAGTACATACATAGATAATTTAAAGAAAAAATATTTACTCATAGATATTTTACTATTTATATTTTATTACTCGAACTCGGGTCGGCCATGTTGGCTGCGTGCAAGACAAACGCCCTGCTGGAGCGATAGCACAGCGGTAGGGCGTTTGCCTTGCACGCAGCCAACATGGCCGACCCGAGTTCGATTCCTCCACCCCTCTCGGAGAGCCTAGCAAGCTACCGAGAGTATCTCGCCCACATGGCAGAGCCTGGCAAGCTACCTGTGATGTATTTCGATATGCCAAACATAGTAACAACGAAGTCTCCAATGGAGACGTTACTGGACCCGCTCGAGCAAATCGATGAACAACGGGAGGGCCTTTACTTTACATTACATTTTATTACTCATCTGAAAAATAGTCTGTTGGGGGCTGGAGTAATCGCACAGTGAGTAGGGCATTTGCCTTGCATGTGGCTGACCTGGGTTCGATTCCCAGCATCCCATATGATTCCCTGAGCACCACCAGGGGTAATTCCTGAGTGCAGAGCCAGGCCCTGTGCATTGCTGGTGTGACCCCAAAAAAAGCAAAAAAAAAAAATTGGTAGTGCAGATAACCTTGATACTTCCCCAGAATAAGTTATTGTCTTGTTTTATGTAAAATTTCTTAGTTACTACCTGTATCTAGTTGAACTTGTGTAGTTGAACTTGTCTAGTTTTCTTCTTCTGAATGTTGTACAAAAGGAATCCTACTACTTTTTGTGACTTTTGTGGAATTAAAAAATCCATATTAATATAAGCAGCCATCTCTACTGTAATAATATATTTCATATTATAATACATGTATTATAATAATACATCTCCTGTGTAATAATATATTTGTAAACATGACTATCTTCCTTTGGCTTGTTTTAAGTTAATTACTATAAAAATAGTATAGTATATATCAGTTCTTACACTTATGATTACTTAACCTTATTAAGTTTTTTGCAAATGTACTTTAAGGTGCTTTGAAATAGTCTTCTTAGGCAGAGTTGATATTTCAAACTCTCCCATAACAGTAGATAGTACAGCAAGTCAAGCACTTACCTTGCATGTTTCCAAACTGGGTTCAGTCCTCGGCACCACATATGGTCCTCCAAGCCCTTCCAGGAGTGACCCCCAAACACAGCTGAATGTGGCCCCAGAACAAAACAAAGAAGATAACTTGCCTCCATAGATTATACCATATAGGAGAAGTAAGTAGCACTCTATATTCTTTTATTAGGCATTCTTTCTTCTCTACTCTTCCACCAAAGAATCTTCTGGTCCTTTACTTCCTATGTTTCTCGTCTTCTCCTAGGTTCTTGATGCAATGGGGGATACTTAGAGGAATTAATCTACCTCCAGGGCATTTATTTTAGTATTCCATATAATACAGAAAATGTATTAATTTGAACAATTCCCTTGATTTAAAACTAGAACAGCTACCCTGCAGCTCTGGGGTTTGTAGTCTTACTTTGTGTTCTCTCCATCCAAATTTAAGAACAGAAACAGATTTCTACATGATAGCTAATAGGATGACTAGTAAAAGGTAAAGGTAAAGGCCCTCCCGTTGATCGTCGATTTGCTCGAGTGGGCCCAGTAACGTCTACATTGGAGACTTTGTTGTTACTGTGTCTGGCATATCAAATACTCTCGGTAGCTTGCCAGGCTCTCCGAGAGGGGCGGAAGAATCGAACTCGGGTTGGCCATGTTGGCCGCTTGTAAGGCGAACGCCCTACCTGCTGTGCTATCGCTCCAGCCTGACTAGTATTACTCAAAATATGTGATTATGTATTTCTGAATTTCCACAGTGAACATGTAATTAATTATATTCACAATTTTCTTTTAGGAGACTTTCATCGGAAACTTCCACGAACTCCATCCAGTGGTACCATGTCTTCTGCAGATGATTTAGATGAAAGAGAACCTCCTTCCCCTTCAGAAGCTGGTATTTCACTCACCTTAATCAAATGCCCAATAAACCCATATATAAGTAGAACTGCTTTATACTAGGGGAAAAATGTACAGCAGTGGTTTTCAGCCTTTTACACTTGAAGACAGTATGCTTCTTGAGGACAAGGAAAATTGTAGATGTTGGAGGATTTAAAGAAGGCCATTAATTTAAAGTTTTAAAATAGATTGATATAAATTAGTTTTGTTTATTTGAGATTGCCAGATAACTACTTTGCATATCATTTCCTAAAATAATACGGAGTATTTGGCCTGGTAGAGTATAATTTTATAATGAATAACCTTATTATTCAGATAGTACCAACAACTAGCTCATACAGGTAATTTTCTTTGACACTTTTTAAGGGACATTTTCTAGGAATGTAATGCCACTTTTGTACACCCTCCCAGCTCTGTAAAGAGCATATTAATAGCAACATAAACTTGCCAATTCTGAATACATTATACCTTGGCTATTTTAGAAATGTCCTCTTGGTTTAGTGGTGACTTTATTAGTAAAAAGTAACTAAAATATTTGATGAATGTGCTTTATAAGAAATCTAAAAATAGATGGTTATTTTGATGTTGAGACTCAGTATATATTTTTTTATATATGTGTGTGTGTGTGAATGATTGCAGTGTTTGTATGTAAAATTTTCTATTAGTTCATACTTCTTATGTATTATTTCACTTCTGTTTTAAGGACCTAATTCCCTTGGAGCATTTAAGAAAACATTGATGTCAAAGGCAGCTCTAACTCACAAATTTCGCAAATTGAGATCCCCCACGAAATGTAGAGATTGTGAAGGCATTGTGGTATTTCAGGGTGTTGAATGTGAAGAGGTAAGATCTCCCTGGAATTTACCTTTTCATGGTTTTTTGATTTGTACTTTTGCAAATGTGTTTTTAGAAATAGAACCGCAGTATCCCTTCTATTTTGTATTTTATTTAGCTCTTAAATACATTTCAAGCACCAGAAAAAAAATCTTTTTCAAGTAAATTCTCATTTTCTTGTAGTGTCTCCTTGTTTGTCACCGAAAGTGTTTGGAGAATTTAGTCATCATTTGTGGCCATCAGAAACTTCTGGGGAAAACACACTTATTTGGAGCAGAATTCACCCAAATTGCCAAAAAGGAACCAGATGGCATTCCATTTATACTCAAAATGTGTGCCTCAGAGATAGAAAGTCGAGCATTGTGTCTGCAGGTACATTGGGACTCTTAAGAAAATTAAATTAACTTGTATCTTGTTTAAGAAGTGAAGGAAAACAGTGCTCTCATATGGAACTGAAGTTATTCAGACTTACTTGGAAAATATTGCCTCGCTTGGCCCTAATTTTTTCCTTATATACTAATGAAATTTGATGTAGACATATCAAATATATTTAGATGTCTGCCTTTAACTGAACATTTGTATTCATGCAAAATTTTCCTCCTTTCTTTTCAAGGGAATTTATCGTGTATGTGGAAACAAAATAAAAACTGATAAACTGTGCCAAGCTTTGGAAAGTGGTATGCATTTGGTAGACATTTCAGAATTCAGTTCTCATGACATCTGTGACGTCTTGAAATTGTATCTCCGACAGGTAAAGTTTTTACCTTGTTAACCTACAATTAAGTAGAAAATGAGAAGAACATTGGGGTTTTGCTGATAACACAATGTACAATATCACAGTGTTGCTGATACCTGTACATATATATGTACAGTAAAAGTATTAGAATATACTCATTTCTCATTACCTAGGTTAAGGAAATAGACCATTACTGTACCAAATAGAAAGCCTTATTTTGTGTGCTGGATAATATTTTGTATGCCCCTCATTACCTGTGATCTTTCCTTATCAGTGTTCTTAGCTCCTTCTCTTTCCTTAATAGTTTGAATACATGTATGTTTATTAATGATGATGTATCATTAAGTTTCAGAAAATTGTGGAAAACATGAACTTAGCCACGTAGGGACAGACGATTCATACTGATAGATGAAGGATTAATTAAGTAGAATGGTGTCTGAGTTATAGCCAGGCTTTACCTTCATTGAGATCTTTAAATGGCTTGTGTGACTGTTCAGCAGGCAGGGTCATAAACGAACCCTGGGAATTCATCTTCGAGGCATTATGTTGCCCCATCAGTGGAGCGCTAGAGGAGCAGAAGGGAGTGGCTTTTCCATAGTTTTTTTTCTTCCTGTGCTCCCTGCAGTTTTACAGGAGTAAGTCCACAGAAAGCACTTTTAGGTGGGTGTGAAGTAAGTGGCTCTTGTGGCTTTAGGGCACAGCTCTTGTGGGTGATGCAGGAACAATGAGTGTGCTGTCTTGGTGAACCACAAACAAAAAATACCTCAGGCAAAACCCAGCTGCTTTCTGTTGTGAGGTGAGACTGAAGAGCCGGTTTTGAAGGGCCTCCTGACAGGGAACCTCAACAGAATCCTTCGGGAGTTCTGTTGCTCCGCTTGGGTCCTTTTTGTTAGAGTGAATAGTTATTAACCCAGGACCCCTCTTCATCACCTCTTTCACTTTTGTGTGAGAACACCTGTCTTCTGTACCAGATCCTCCTGGTTTTGATATATTCTCCTGTTTTCATCGTGTTCATTCCTGGACTGTTTGTGGAATAAAAGTAAATAAATTTGAGAAGCCACATTGCTGACTCAGAAGGCTAGAGGCATGCTTCGCCTCTGGGAGCCCCGGGTCAATCGCTGCTACTGCTTGATACCATTTGTGCCACCAGACATACCCCAGGCAACACTGTGACCCAAAAACGGAGGAAAAAAATAACAGTGAATATTTGAAGACTTTCCTGTAAATATTTTCTAAGTTTTTGAATGGGAATGGAAGAATGTGGATGGTTTGGAAGGTTATAAAATAGTCTATTGTATAAATGATTTCTATTTGAAATTTTAAAGGTAGTTTTTTTGTTCTCTGAAGTCTGATATCCTTAATGTGTGAATGTCTGTGGTCTGTTACTTTCTCTCTGAAAGCTCATAGAATCTTTCACCTACTTCAGAGTTTCACAGTGATTTCCTTGAGTGGGATTATTTTTATCTGCTGTTTGGGGGCATTCTATAGGCGCTCTCAGTTGAGTTATTTGTCCTTTAGTTCTTGGAACTATTGTTTTATTAATCATTTATTCCTCAATTTTCTTCTGGGAATTTATTATTTAGATGATTGATAACTTACTCTGATTATCCTTTTGAGTTCCTTTTTAAATTTTTGTTTCAACATTTTCCAAGTACTTTTTTTAGTTTTATCTTCCACTTCTGCTTTGTTTCATTTTGATTTTGGGCCATATCCAGTGGTGCCCACGGCTCCAGGCTCTGCATTCAGAGGTCACTCCTGGCAGGCTCTGGGAACCATATGGGGTGCCAGATATTGAACTGAGTCAGCCCCATGCAAGTCAAGAGCCCTACCCCTGTACTATGTCTCCAGCCCTCTATGGACCGTTTGATTTTAGAGAAAATGTTTGCATTTATAAGAACTCCTTTTCATTTTTGCTTTTGGGTCACACCCAGTAGTGTTCAGGACTTTGTTCTGGCTCTTGCACTTGGGGATCATCCCTGGTGGGGCTGGAGGGGACCATGTGCAATGCTGAGATTGAACTAGAGTCGGCTACATGCAAGGCAAGTGTCCCACCCGCTGTACTATCTCTCTGGCCTCTTTCTGTTCCTTTTATGGAATTTTTTTTTCTTCCCTGAATGCAGTGTTTTATCTGGAGGATATTGATAACTTTTGTTTTCTAAAGAAAACTTCCCTTTCTCTCTTAAAAAAATAAAAAAAGGTTTTTTTCCTAAATTATCCTCTAGCTTTGGCAGTGGAAATATGAGCTTCATGTATAAATACTGAATTTTCTAGTAACCACTGAAGAAACAAGTAAAGTTAATATTTAACACACTGAGGGGGGGGGGCTGGAGAGAGAGCACAGCGGATAGGGCGTTGGCCTTGCACGCAGCTGACCCGGGTTTGATTCCCAGCATCCTATATGGTCCCCTGAGCACGGCCAGGAGTAACTCTTGAGAGCAGAGCCAGGAGTAACCCCTGTGCATCGCCAGGTGTGACCCAAAAAGCAAAAAAAAAAAAAAAAAATTTAACACACCGAACATATATAAATATCTATAGTTAATATTTTTAAATTATTAGTGATTGTTTTTCCTTGTATTTGGCCCCTAGTCTTTGAAATCCAGTTTGCATTTTTTATTGCAAATTTGTGCCAGTTTGGGCTGGCCCGTTGCCAGTGCACAGTCACCCTCTCAGGTCATGGTTACCACAATGCCAGCACAATTTTAGACCTTCAGGTTTTTTTTTTTTCTGCCTATTTTGATTATCCTTCACGAAAGTCTTCTTAAAATGAAAGAACTAAGAGTTGAAATCTCTGAGGTCTCTTGAACATATGAAGGCTTTGAAGATTTTAACATGTACTCCGTATGATCCAGATGGGCTCTTGGAAACTGTGACGTGTCTGTCTAGGTCTGTGCTCTGGGACTGGTCTGATAGTCCAGAAAAGGGTGTGAGAAATCTGGAGGGAACAAAGGCTCCCAGCATCTCTGCATTCAGCCTGATTTGAGATTACTGTTTTTCGGCCTTTTTGCTTCTGAGGATTGATGACAATCTGTGGGCCAGTGGTTGAAACTTCTGTTTTATGTTTATTTGCATTGCCCTTATAGAGACTGTTTTATATTGGCCAGAAAAGTTCCCAAGTCTGAGTAATAAATTACTCAGAAACATACAGTGAATCTGTGAGCGTCTAGAGATTGGGAGGGTGGGGGGAAAAGGAATTGGGCCATACTGGGAGGTGCTCCCTGGCTCACTGTTCAATGAGTAGTTTCCGAATCTCAGTGTCCTGTTTATCAAAACTCATTCTTTGCAGTGCTCAGAGGACCATATATGATGTTAGGGATGAACTCAGGCCGGCCTCATAGAAGGAAAGTGCTTTATTAACACCTGTGCTATCTCTTCAGCCCAGATCTAAAGGTTTAGTGTTTTGAGATAGCTGTCTTTTCCAGGGTCAGAGGGTATAGTTTTGGCAACCTGGGTCTCCTTAAGCACCTGCAAATCAGGTTGGTTCTCAGTTTGGGAGTTCAATTTTCTCAGGAAAGCTAAGTCAGCACTTGTTCCTCTGCTTCTTGATTTGTGACTTGTTGCTTTTGTCCTCATCTCTAGTCTCCTAGTCCTGTGGAATTACTTGTATTTCAGTGGGGTTTCAGGAGAGAAAAATCTGGGACACATGTTGGATCTGCCATGTTAGCCTAGGATTTTGATGATGCTATTACTGTACATGTTTCCAAATCTCAGTGCCCTCTTCATCAAAACTCGTAACAGGGACTGGAGAGGTAGTGAAGCGCGTGCCTTGAGTGCAGCCAGCCCTGGTTTGATCCCCATTTGGTCCCCCTTGCATGCTGAAAGCCCCTGGGCACCCCTTCGTGTCGCCCTGGAAGGCCCCCAGCACTGCCAGGGTAGGGGTAATGCCTTGGCAGTGCAGAGCCCAAGCAGCACCACATCCTCAGGACCTCGCTCCAACCACCAGCGCAGTTGGCTGAGCATCCCCAGGAGTGGCCCCGGAGCCTCCTGAGCACCTCTGGGGAATTTGTACCTTCCCAAAAATAACTGAGATGAGCTCTAATAGTTTGTTCACTTTATGTATTTTGCCACAAAAATTTTGTCTTAGGGACTGGAGTGATAGCACAGCGGGTAGGGCGTTTGCCTTGCACGCAGCCAACATGGCTGACACAGGTTCGATTCCCAGCATCCCATATGGTCCCCCGAGCACTGCCAGGAGTAATTCCTGAGTGCATGAGCCAGGCGTAACCCCTGAGCATCACCGGGTGTGACCAGAAAGCAAAAAAAAAAAAATTGTCTAAATATTAAGTCTCTTTCAATAGAGACAAAACAACGGCCAGGATCCAGAGATTATCACAACAAGCTCCCGGGAGAGCGCAAGGCAGAGTCTCCTACCCTGTGCCTGACTATCCTCGCCAGGGCCCAACAGCCGAAGACCTCCAGGCCCCAGCCAAGGCCTTACTGGGGCCACTCTCCACACACTTGGATAAGCCTCAGGCATAACAGAACTGGCAGAGGAACCCAGGTGTGTGGGACCCGGCGCTGAGATCTCCAAGCCTGCACGGTTTGGGACTGGACCTGTCAGTACCTAGATAGTTAACACCCTCCCATTGCCGTGTAACCCCAACAACGGCCAGGATCCAGAGATTATCACAACAAGCTCCCGGGAGACTATTTATTTACTTTTCTCTAAATTTTCAGGATACCTTAAATATCCAACCCGCACGGCAGAGCCTGGCAAGCTATCCGTGGTCTATGCCAAATAGACTAAATTGATATGCCAAATCCAGTAATAAATGGATCTCATTTCCCTAACCCTGAATATGCAGAGTCGAGAAGGATATGGAAGGAGAGGCTGATAAAATACCAAGGCAGAAATAGACTGCCAAAACGCAGAAAAACAAAAATGATTGTCTGTACTTTCAATGCTCATACGCTGGCATCTGCTGCATCCATTGAAGATCTTATGGTACAAGCGCGAAAGATCAAGTACGACATCATTGGTCTGACCGAAACGAGAAGACATCAATCACATCATGCCG